CAGTCATGGGCAATCAGGAAAACTGAAACCACAGGAGGCATTTCTTACAGAGGGAGCTTCATACAGGGAATTGGTTACACAAGGGATGAAGAACTAGGAAGCTAAATTGGCCAATGAGGCAACACTAGAACTAGAGCAAGAGGGACAAGGGGACAGAGAGGGAGGTAGCAGTGCTCCAGCCATAGGGAACTCACAGCAACTGCTAGAAACATCACCTGAGGCAGAAAGAGACAGGGAAGCAATACCCTGGCTTACCCCTTTTTCCCACCTTCCAGTCTGCCAGTGCCTCCCACTGGCCAAGCCTACATAAAAGCCAGAGGGCAGGGAGCCTGAGAAATGTATTTCCTTGGAAACACAGCAGGTGAGGGCAGAGCAGAGCAGGGATCTGAGCACACAGGAAAAGTGAGAGGCACCTGCAGAAGATGGCATTTTAAGTTAGTGGGACAAAGATGAATTATTCCTTTGCTGATGTTGGGACAACTGGGTCATTTCAGGGGGAAAAAAATGAGAACTTTCCCTTAAAACATGCACAGAGACTCTTCTTCCCTGTTGGCTCTTCCCTGGGCTACATTAGGTGCCCCTCCTCACTTAACCCTCGTCAAAGCACCTGTCACACTGCCTTGGACTTGTTACCCAGCAGTGAGCTCCTTGAGGGCAAGGACAGCCTTTCGCTTGTCTCTTCACTCTTGTGCCCAACGCAGTGCCGGGCACAAGAGTTAGCCCTTAAATACTTATTGGATGCATTGATATTTAATTTTATTTTCAACCTAATCAGTATTAGTTGAACACCTGCTGTGTGCTTAGCACAGCGGAGGATATGAAAACATGTGACATAACAGTCTCTGTTCCTACTGTGTCGTTGGGAAGGCAAGATGTGTACACAAGGATGTCTCAGGCAGTGAAGTTCTGAGGAGGTCTCAGGATTTTCCCGATGAGTGCATTCGCTGCCTTAAATAGAAGCCAAGACAGATGGGAAGACGTAGCAGATGGGCAGCAAGCAGAGAGGCAGTAGTCCTGGACTGTGTCCCAGGCTCAGCCAGTTGCCCACGGTATGACCCGGTCACCTCATTCCCCCAGCAGGCCCCATTTCCTCGTCTGCAAAATAAAAGGATTGGACTGGGGCAGTGCTTCTCAGCCCTGGCTGCCCCCTCGATGATGACTGTGTAACTGGTCCGGGGTAGGGGCTAGACATTGATATTTTTCAAAATCTTCTCTGGCGACTTTTAAAAATCAATTTTATACAGATAGAAGCTAGTATCATACAATTCGCCAATTTAAATTGTACAGTTCAGTGGTTTTCAGCATTTCCACGAAGTTGTACAACCATCACTAAAATCTAATTCTAGAACTTTTCCACCTCTCCTAAAGAGACCCTGTATCATTAGCAGTCACTTCCTGTCCCTCTCCTCCATCCTCCCCAGGCCTAGGTAACCACTAATCTACTTTCTATCTCTATGGTTTTGCCTATTCTGAACATTTCTTACAAATGGAATCCTCAGCATGATGTTTTTCAAGGTCCCTTTACATCATAGCATGGATCAGTGTTTCATTCCATTTTATGGCTGGATAATATTTCATCATATGGCTGTGCCGCATGTTATCTGTTCAGCAGTTGATGGACATTTGGGTTGTTTCTACCTTTTGGCCACTATGATTAATGCTGCTATGAATATTCATGGACAGGTTTTTGCATGGACATGTTTTCATTGCTCTTGAGTATATACCTAGGAGTACAATTGTTGGGTCATATGGTAACTCTCTGTGTTTAACCATTTTGAGGAACTTTCAGGTGTTTTCCCAAAGCAGCTGTACCTTTTTGCATTCCCACCAGCAGTGTGTGGGAGTTCCCCTGGTGATTTTAATATTCACATAAAACCGACAGATAGAGGGTCTCCATTTTTATAATTCTGTGATTTCTTTTTTTTTTTTTAAATGTTTATTTATTTATGATAGTCACACAGAATGAGAGAGAGAGGCAGAGACACAGGCAGAGGGAGAAGCAGGCTCCATGCACCGGGAGCCCGATATGGGATTCGATCCCGGATCTCCAGGATCGCGCCCTGGGCCAAAGGCAGGCGCTAAACCGCTGCGCCACCCAGGGATCCCAATTCTGTGATTTCTTATCCAGGATTTGATCCCCAGAATTTGGCTGAGCTATTGAGTATATGGTACTATTGGCTTCAAGAGCACCCTCTTCATCCCTGGCCTTATTTTTGAGAGAAAGCCCTCTGAGTTCTGTGTTCCAGCTCCAGACCCTGCCCTCGTCACAGTTCTAGCAGTGGATTCTGGAGGATTATTCTGGAAAATTATACCATTATTATACTAATTGTAATATTTAGTAAATAATGGGACAGTAATATTATTAATATTATAGTAATACTATAATACCATAACAATGAATATATGTTACTGATATTATAATAATATTATTAATATTTTAAATAATTATCCCATTACTCAGTATGCAACGCATTTTGATTGAGCATGGTGGGGTCCCAGGGTCTCTCTCCCAGTCCTGGGCACACAGGTAGCCCTCTTCTTCCACCCCAGATTTCTTCTTAACTGCCAGCCCATGGAAGCAGAGGTGGAAGCCTACATAACCCCTCTTCCATCACCCTCTGAAAAATCAGGACTTGTGACCTTCTTTCCAGAATGCCAGAAGCCTCATGAACCTCAGTCTCTGTTGACAACGAGCATGGAGCTGGTCTCATTTCCTGAACTTTAACCAGTGGTTCGCCCCAAGGCTCCGGGGCTGCTGAGTGCTGCTGGACCCTCTGGGTGGGCTTGACCTTCTCTGGGGTCCCTCCGAATAGGGCAGATACAATTCTCATGGATGCCATTTACATCATAGACGATGTGAACTGCACCTCTTTAGAGTCCATGAGGCCATGAGCAGTGGTTTCCTTAACAGACCCACAACTCCATAAAACTCCATGAACTAAGATCTCCGGGATGGTGGTCCTTCACGTGAATGAGCTGAGGGAGCTCCCAGGTCATCCCACTCCTGCTTAGAAACCTTTGCTCGCCTAGACACCCTTACCCTGACAAGATTCAAGCAGCTTCTCTGACCCCTTATTTCTCTTCCCATTTGTCTTGCTCCGTCTTCCCCATAAGTAGCTGTGAAAGGAAAATCACACATGCATATTTCATTTGACATGTTATTAAATGCAATTTATCACTCCCTGCATATATATTTATTTCCCTGTTTAACTTTTCACTCTGGTTTTCCTTGAAATAAAAAGTCACACACTCGTAACTTGGAAAGACGAGTACATGCTACCACTGCTGTAGCCCAAGTCCATGGCAAACATCACTAATCAATCACAGCCCTCTCTCCTCCTGAGCTGGGCACAACCTCAGAATCCTTCTCAATCTTACTTTCCAAGCAAAGGGTGAGAATCACTTGGAGCTGGCATGGGAGATGGTGACTATCTGCCATTCCTCAGAAGGTCTTACTGAAAGCTTTCCAACTCCACCTCCAGCCCTAAATGTGCACCAGATCTCTGCTAGGGGACATCTTGCCCCTTGGGTGTTCATTCTCACACTCAGGGTAATTCAAGAGGAGCCCTAAGTAGGGAAGCCCCTAGAATCCTCTGAGGCTAAAGAGAATTTTGTCTCTCCTGAGACCCCAGACTCTGTGTCTCTTTAGGACAGATAGTATTTTCAGCTTACATGAAAGACGGGAAAAGAATGCCAACGGGCTTTGGCATCCACATAGCTGTTGTCAAATTCCAGATGCACCGCTTCATTAATCCTTCTTCCTTCCCTTCCTCTCTCCCTTCCTCAAGAGCTTATGGAGTACCTACTACTTACCAAGCAAAGGTCTCGACATCCATAAAATGGCATCATTTTATGGGACAGAGCAAGCCGTAGGTACATAGCTGGGAGAAAGGATGATTTTCAGGCCTGGAAATGCACCCAGCATCACCTGACCCACCTCCTGTCACAGAGGAGGAAACCGAAGCCCAGAGCAACTGCCCCAGGTTCCTGCACAAGGTTGGGACAGAACTAACACTAGGACCCAGGCCTTTCAACTTCCACTCAGTGCACCTTTTGCTGGCCCTGTTACGGGCTGCGTGGGGAAGCTGGACACCCTTGCATACATTCCGTGGTGGGGAGGTGAGGCTGGGCTGTGAGCCCAAGAAGCCGAGTCACGCCAATTCCACACCCTTACACACATGTACACCGTGTGAACCTGTCCTGAGCCCCGGCTCTGGAGGCAGCCCAGGGCATAAGCTCGGCGCCCTGGCTACGGCTCTGCGGCCTGTGGGCTGCACGGGACAGTGGAGGCAGGAGGAACGGGGTCTGTTTCAGGAATCTAAGCAGGCAATGACCGATGACAGGGGCTCCCTCTAGGGCGGTTGTGGTGGAAACGGAGAGAACAAGTGGAATTGTACCCTTAGCAGGTGTCTTCTGTGCGGTGGGGGGTCAAGACTTCTGTGTGTGTCATGTCATGATCTTGGCCTGGGATGGCCAACAGATTACTTGCTAGTATTGCTTTTTATTTCCTCCGCCCACTTAAGGGATGTCTTTTCTTGAAGTTATTTGGCTTCAAATTCAGCATTGGGTTAAGGTGCAGGGTCTCTGATATACGCAAATGTCCACCTTCTACTTTGAGCGCGGTGTCGCCATCGTGTCCTGTTTCACGCAAACCCCGCAGATCTGGTGGCTGAGCCCATTTCTCTCGGTTGTGAAGGGCCAGAGAATGTCTTTGAAAGTACGCAGGGGGCAGCCCAGGTGGCTCAGCGGTTTAGTGCCACCTTCGGCCCAGGGTGTGATCCTGGAGACCCGGGATCGAGTCCCACGTAGGGCTCCCTGCAGGGAACCTGCTTCTCCCTCTGCCTGTGTCTCTGCCTCTCTCTCTCTCTCTCTCTCTCTCTCTCTCTCTCTCCCCCCCCCATGTCTCATGAATAAACAAATAAAATCTTTAAAAAAAAAAAACGCACGGGAATGTCAAGACACTTTCCTTTTCTAAATCCTGACTTTGACACCCTCCACAGCTTCCCGCTCCCTTCCCCAGGGCTCAGCAGCTCCGACCGGCTGCCCTTCGGCATCGAGGAGAACGGAGGCACTGCCCGGGCCTCGGCCAGACACCACCACCATCACCACCAGCACCAGCATCAGCACCACCCGAGCTACGGCCTCTCGCTGACGCTGGACAACAAGGAGGGGCCTGCGAGGTCTCCCAACTCCTGCAGCAAATCCCTTACCAGTAAGTCCAGTAAGTTGGGGAGGGGAGGGTGAAGGGAAGGGAGGGATGCTGCAGGGAATGGACGGCTTCCCTAGAGCCCCAAGACCTTCCAGAGCAGCGCAGAAAGGCAGTCACGTCAGAGCTGGGTTGCCAGGCCTGGGCCAGAGCAGACAAGAGCCTTGTGCATTTGGGGCGCCTGGGGGGCTCAAAGGTTGAGCGTCTGCCTTGGGCTCAGGGCGTGATCCTGGAGTCCTGGGATCGAGTCCCACGTCAGGCTCCCTGCAGGGAGCCTGCTTCTCCCTCTGCCTGTGTTTCTGCCTCCCTCTCTCTCTCTGTCTCTTGTGAATAAGTAAATAAAATCTTAAAAAAAAAAAAAGAGCCTTATGCATTTAAGCAGGAGCAGCTGAGGGATCGTGGTTTACCAGTAAACTTTAATTTAATTCCACTGTCGCAATTCCGTCTCCACCGCACACCTTAGCAGTTCCTAGTTCCACTGGCTCAAGTAATAGAAAGAGGAGGGGGAGCCAGGAGGCTGGAATCTCTGCTTTTCCTGGTGACAGGACAGCCTATTCTGTCCCATTTCGGACATCCCTCTTCTGCGAGCAAGGTGATGTCAGGGGAGCAAGGTGATGTCAGGGAGGACCAGGTGTGCACCCTTTCAGATCCCAGTGAGAGAGGTTGTGGAAATGGGAGAGTAGGCAGCTGGAAACATTTTAGCAATAGGACAGAGTGATTTTTATATCCTTTAAAACTAATTTAAAAATGGGCTTGGGTTTTGTATGATTTCATTTTTCTAGAAGCTCCCTTTTCTTATGCTTTATTATCAAAGAGTTGATCAGTGACAGACCAGAGGGGGAAGATCTGGTCCTTTTTTTTTTTAAGATTTTTTTAAAATTTATTTATTCATGAGAGACACAGAGAGGCAGAGACACAGACAGAGGGAGAAGCAGGCTCCATGCAGGGAGCCGGATGTGGGACTCGATCCCGGGGCTCCGGGATCACACCCTGAGCCGAAGGCAGAGGCGCTTAAGTGCTGAGCCACCCAGGCATCCCACGCTGGTTCTTTATCACATATGATGTGCAAGAACATTGAGCTAGAGGCAGGGGTCAAGACACTTCGATTCTGGTTTTCATTATTGAGCTGTGTTCCCTCTTGTACCCTCAGTTTTCTCATCTGTGAGATGGGGGAGAAGGTATCTGGTGGATGGCCATGGAATCTTCCAACTCTGACATCCCATGAGTCTGGGTGGTGGTGAAAGGGTGAGCTGATGAGGAGGCTTCAACCGTAGACCACAGGGAACAATTCTGGGTTGGTTGAGTCCGAAACGGAAATTCATCATTCACGTGGTGTTGGTGAATCAGAACTCTGCACCCCCATCGCTATGCACACTGCCTCATCTAGGCCATGCCTCATCTTTTTGTATCCGGGTACCTGTCACAGCCCCTACGGGGCACCTCCTCCAACGCAGTCTCCATCTTATAGCTGCCAGAGTGAGAGCTCTGACCAAATGCCTTAAGACCTTTCGGCGGTGGGGCATCCAGGTGGCTCAGTGGTTGAGCATCTGCCTTTGGCTCAGGTCATGATCCCAGGGTCCTGGGATCGAGTCCTGCATCCCTGCAGGGAGCCTGCTTCTCCCTCTGCCTGTGTCTCTGCCTGTGTCTCTGTGTCTTTCATGAATAAATAAGTAAAATCTTAAAGAAAAGGGGGGGGGGACTTTCAATGGTATGTCACTGTCCTGAGATCAAGCCCACCCTTCTGGGCATGGCCAGACGCAGACCTTCCCCGCCTGGCCCCTGCTGGGGCCTTTGGTCTTCCCCGAGTCTTCACTACAGTCTAGCCACACAAAACTACTCCCCTCTCCCCAATTACTGTGCTGTGTTCTAGCACTATCCTTTGCACCTGCTGTTCCCTCTGCCTGGAAGGCTTTTCTCTACCCTAGTGAACACCCACACATTTCTTCAGGAAGCAACTCAAATGTCGTGGGTGAAACTTTCTCTAACACGCCTTTCTGGTTCCCGGCTTTGGAGCACCTTCCCTTTTGGCCCTCTAGCAACTACATAACCTTTGATGTCTGCACGTGTCTCTGTCTCCCCCAGTAGACTAGAACTATGCCTCGTTTATCTTTTGATTCCAGCTGCCCCAATCCCAATCGCAAATGATACTTGGCCCAAGCTTTAATATGTAATGAATACTTAATAATTAATAAAAACTTCTCTGTATAAATGAGTAAATACTACCCAGTGGAAAGAGTGGTGGCAAACTAATCCAAACTAGTACAGAAATAAAAAATCAGTGAATTTGGTCTTAGAAACAAAACAGTTTTCAAGGGCACCTTCTTCCTACGCCTGTTAGCCCAAACACTCATCTTTCTAATTTGCGTAGCGTTTTCTCGTTAATAATACATTTGTAGTTAAATGACCTCACCTCATATTCACAGCAGCCCTGTGGGGGATATAGTTTTATTTTCATGTGAAAATGGCCCAGAGGCTCAGAGACATGAAGTCACTTGCCCAAGGCCACCCAGCTCGTCTGTGGGGGAGGTAGGCTTTGAAGCCTTGATTTTGGCTGTTCTCACAGCCCATCAGCTGGTGCGTATTCAGGGAATCGGAGGGGAGTGGAGAAGGCAGGCAGAAATGTGCTGGGGGGTCAGGATCACATCTTTTATCACGTCTCTCTCTTTGTCCTTTCCACCTTTTCTTCTTCATCCCCCCCCCCCCCCCCGGCCACTTGTAGAACTGAGTCCAGGAGCACCTGCCCTGTTCAGCGAGGCTGCCGCCCATCTGAAGAAGCTGGAACTGGAAACCGTGAAGGCTGCTGGCCCCTGGCCTGCTCTGCACATCAACATAAATAAGGTACCGGGGACCAGGGCTGGCTGATGAGCCTGGACCTGGGGACTGTGTCAAACCTCTCGTTATTCCCCTGCCCCACCTCCTAGATTACATGCCTTTGTCTTGGAGGGATCTCTACTCAATTTTTCCTAACATTTCTGCTCAGTCTCCTAAAAGCAGAAATTCACTTACACTATTTTTGGCTGAATTACAGCGCTGGGAATTGCCCTTGGTGCTGAGGCTCACAGGCTGGATCTGCTAGTGACCTCTCCTCCTTGACCTCAGTGAGGAGGCGCCCACGTTTACCTCTTTCTGTCTTTACCCGTCTGTATCGGTCTGCTCGGGTTGCTATAACAAAATACCATAGACAGGGTGGTTTAAACAATAGACATTTATTTTTCACTGTTCTGGAGGCTGGAAAGGCCAAGATCCAGGTGTCAACCACTTTGATTCCCTGGGAAGGGCTCTCCTCTTACCTTGCAGATGGCTGTCTTCTCACTGTGTCCTCACCTGCAAAGAGAGTTCAATTTTTCTTTCTTCCTTTTTAAAAGATTTTATTCCTGAGTAATCTCTATACCCAGGGTGGGGCTTGAACTCACAACCCTGAGATCAAGAGTTGCATTTCTACTGACTGAGCCAGCCACATCTCTCTTCGTCCTCTTATAAAGCCACTAATCCTATGATGAGGGCCCCATCCCATGACCTTATCTGAATCTGTTCACTTCCCAAGGGCCCCATCTCCAAATGCCATCCCACGTGGGGTAAGGCTTCAACATATGATTTCAGGGGAGATACAGCACCCTGTCTCTCCCTGACAGCACCTGGCACATAGTAGGTGTTCAATAACTGTTTGCAAATGGAAAGAAGGGAAGGATTGAAGGAGGGAGGGAAGGAGAGAAGAAGAGAGAAAAAGATGCTGGGAGCAAAACTCTCCTTTGGCTAGACCTGTTCTTATATCCAAATGAACAACCTTATGAAAGCCAAAGTTTATCCTACAACTGTAGAATGTCGGTGCAGGATTCAACCTACCATTTAGTTCAACTTTCTTACCACCTGAGATCAGAGGAAGGGAAATTACTTTCTCAAGGTCCCACAGCCGGGGCTGAATCGTTGGGTCCCTGACTCCTGGTCCAGTGCCTCTGTGCTCCAACATGCCTCTTCATTTGCACACCAGAGTTTCTCAGCTTTGACACGACTGACATTTTGGCCTGTGCTTGTTGCAGAGGAACTGTCCTCTGCATTGGAGAATGTTTGACAACATCCCTGGGTTTCACCCACTAAATCTCCATCAGGCTTGACAACCAACCTTGTCTCCAGACACTGTCACATATCCCCTAAAGGGCAACATCATCCCTAGTTGGGAACCAGTGTTTTACACATATTTTAATTTTTAAAATCCCCAAAGCAGTGTCTTTCACTTGTGAATTGTTTCTTCCACTCTGATGCTTAGCTTTGCCCCTTTCTAAGAGGGCATAGGAAGTCGGAAGGGAAGATCTGGCCCAGGAAGCCTCTACCTCCTTATGCACACTGGTGAGCATGGAAAGGTTACACTTCCTCCCTGGGCTGTTCCCCCACCACAGCCAACCCTCTAGCCTACACCAGATTTCCAGGATTTCTCAGAGCACCCTCATTTCCTTTCATTCCCTCAAAGGGCAGCCTAAAGTCCCTTTGACAACATCAGTGGGCCGCTCACCCTCTTTCTCTTCTATACCTACCTCCCTGATGGCCAGCTGGAAAGAAGCCCTCCTGTAAAATAGCACTGACATTCACTCAATCCATGAATGCTTATTGAGCAGGTCTATACTAGGTGCCAGGGAACCAACCCAGTGTCTCACATACCCCCTGCACTGGTCTTCTTTCTCTTAGTCTGTTTTCAAACTTTTGTTCTGCAATCCACACAATAAATGGTTTCAACAGGCTTACCTAGAGTTTGGCAGAAACCAAAACTATTTTTGCAAGGAAATAAGCAGAAAGCAAGCAGCAGATTGCTCACAAGCTCTATGTAATTTGTAGTTGCCATGAATATCGGTGGGCCATCAACAGTAGTGGCTTGTTCTGGGTTAAGGTATATCTGAGACAACTGTGAGTTACTGAGCATTTTTTTCTCCGTCACTTGAAGAGATACATCAGTGAGCAAGTGGGCTAAAGTGATGTCAGATAACATTGAGTTTGTCCTAACACATAGGCAAAGGATGTTACTTCATGCTACAATTCTTTCTCCTTAATCAAACATTCTGTGCAACAGAGCTCACAATTTTTTGTGACATCACAGTTGGCAACCAATGGCTTCAAAGGCTTTCAGGGTTTTTTTCCAGTCTCAAGGACCAAGAATCCTCTGATTCTTCAAAGATTTGGTAAGTTCCTGTTCTCGATTTGGTGGTGAGGAGACCTTTCCATTGCCTACATCCAAAGTTGTGCCTGAAATTATCAGAGGAATTTAAATCTCACCAGATTTCAGTGTATAAACAATTTTATAAACAACTAAAAAATGCATCTGATCATTTCTTTATCCCCAAATGACTTCCCCAAACAGATGGACTGTTTCCAAATGTAATCATCTCAAAGCCCACTTGTCATTCATTTGTATGTTTTAAAATCTGTATTTCAATATTGAACGATAAAGCATCTTTTCACAATTCAAATTGAATGCAAAACACAACACGTGGTCATGCAAAAGAGAGAAAGCAGCACATACTTGGAACCATCCTTCAGGCTAGAATGATGGACTCCTTGTAATCCAGATGTTTATCTCCTAGAGATGCCTTTTGATGCAAACATATTTATAGAATGACAGTCAGATTTTCCAAGTTTTATATTGATCCTCACCTGAATCCATTCATAGAGCTGGCCAATAGCTCCTGCTTCGTCAGATAGAACAAGCCAGCTTTGATTTTATATCCAAAAAAGCAGTTTAAAAGGATTAAATTCAAAGGGAAAACCAATGCTGAATTCTCATTCTTTTCTCATTTTAGCAGCATTCACTTTTTCTAAAATAGATCTTCGGTCATTACCATCAGGATAACTATATCCCCTTAAGCAATTGTCAAAAACCTCAAGTGGGCTTTAGAGGCAATTTAATTCTTATATTCCAGCATATCATTCCAGAAAATTAAATCTAATTAAAAAATTAACTCTTCACACCCCAGTGAAAACACCCATGCTCGTGTTAAACAATTATCTTCACGTGGCAGGATTTCCAAACGTAAGATAAATTATCCTAGAGCTCTACTATCGGGCTCATCTTTCAAGATAAATAGGTGGCTTGTTTTCAGGGGGATGCTGAGTCTTTTAGGATAATGATTCCAATCAAAGAGCCTGTTGTCTTTATACCCAATGCAATGGCTTAGGATTATTAGTAGTCTCATATCTGATGCTCTCTTTCAGTTGTGTTTTCTTTTCCAAAGAATTTAACATAAGAGTACCATTCCTATCTTGTTTTTTTTTTCTCATTTGCTTATCACAATATTCTTATGATGAAAGAAACTGAGATTCAGGGAGGTTAAGGGGATCCAGTATGGCTGAGTGGTCAAGATCTGTAGCCTTGGAGTCTCCCGATCCTGAGTGTGAATCGTGGCTCTTCTGTGTCCTTTCTGTGTGACCTTGGGCCAGTGACTTACCATCTCTCTGCTTTGTTTTTGTCATTCTATAAAATAGCAATAATGATCATATCTGCCTTCAAATGAGATGGTTCAATGAGAGGAGCCCCTGAAATGTCCTTAGTCAGTGGCCGCCCTACAATAAGCTCTCCGTAAATATGAGCTTCTGGTATTGTTTTTCTTTTCATCCTCATCGTCGTCATCATTTTTGTTTTATGGTGCCAGGGAGGGAGAGAGCTGAGATTAAAATCCAGCTCTTCTGTCTCTGCTGATCTTGCTGTTACATGAAATTGCTTCGTTCTACTTGTTACACCAAATGCTCCTCAATGCATTTGGAGGTCCCGCTGGGAGACTGCCTTCTGTGCTCTCTTTTCTTTATTAAGTGATGTCAACCAGCCAATTGCCCTATACTTCCTCTAGGGCTTTCATAACGCTCCTGCTATGTGTACCAAGGTACTCAACTGGACTTTTGAATTAGCAAATGGGATTAATTTAGGAACTCACAGGATTTGAGGCCCTTAGAACATTTTGCTCTTGCACTGTACTAACATGCCACCTTGAGTCCTGCTATCACTAAGTTGACTTTTAGCAATCATACAGTCTCGTACCTTTCTTTCTAAACACATCTTTTTTGATAGTAACTATATATCATTATCACCTTCTTTAGTAGGTATTTATTAAGCACCTGCTGTGTACGAAGCACCACATTAGCACTGGGATATGCAGTGACCACAATAGGCATGGCTGACATTAAGGTTTTATTCCCAGTGTGATGTGTGTACCATCAAAGATGATTTCAGGTTATACACATAGATGAGTATTTTTTTAATAGTTGTTAATTATCATAATGTCTATTATAATAAATATAATAGTCACAATGCCTATGATTTCAAAGATATTATTGTTTAGGACACACTTAAAAGAGGTAGTCTCAGGATAATCCACCTTAACTAGATCATATAAATGATAGGTACATGTTGGGGCACCTGGCTGGCTCAGTCTGTGCAGCATGTGATTCTTCATCTCAGGGTTGTGGGTTTGAACCTCACATTGGGTGTAGAGATTACTTAAAAATGAAATCTTTAAAAATAAAATTAGAGACACCTGGGTGGTCCAGTGGTTGAGCATCTGCCTTCAGCTCAGGGCATGATCCCTGAATCCCGGGATCAAGTCCCACATTGGGCTCCCCGCAGGGAGCCTGCTTCTCCCTCTGCCTGTGTCTCTGCCTCTCTGTCTGTGTGTGTCATGAATAAATAAATAAAATCTTTTTTAAAAAATTAAAAAATAAAATGAATTATAGGTACATGTTTAGTTAGTACCTAGGAAATGGCAAAATAGTGAAGGCAGGGTACCAGATTGCTGACATCCGAGACTCTCTGCAATGAGGTGGCATAGGTAGAAGTTTCTTGAGATTCGCAATTTGCAGCAAGATTTGCTGTAAGAATACCAATGACTATTTTGCAGTCTTTCCCCAACAAGTCACAGAATTGAGTCTTTCTCTGTAAGAGGTGGCAGTTATGGAGGGAACAACCCTGTGTTAAGGGATGGAAAACTCGAACCTTGCGTCCTGGAGCTGCTGCTAGCTCTCGCTGCAGAACTCCGGAAGAGCCTCTCCTGTTTGTCCCGTCACCCCGATGTCTGGCTCGGAGGTCCCCTAGTACATCCTCTCCCTGCTTCACAAGAGAATGAGAGCATGTGCTTGTGAATCCTTTACAAAGAGTAGAAGCAGTGGCACCCATATAAAAAGTTGGGGCCACACTTGTGGTAAGACCATGTTATTTGCAGTTATGCTTGATGGAAAGGTTAATGTAGGTGTTTTCTTTCCTCTCTGTTGACAATCTGTCGTCTGTGTCTCAGGCCGAGGAAAAAAAAGTTTCTGAGAAGACTCTTCAGACCCCACTTTTGCCTTCCCCTGTAGCCGATCACGTGAAGTGCAACATTTTGAAAGCCCAGTTGGAGAACGCATCCCGAGTGAGTGCGCAGGTACGTGGAGCTGGTGCATTCCTTCAACTTCACGTCCCAGATTTGCTTCCTGCCCTTCAGAAGCAGGAGGCTCTCTAGGCCTGAGATATGGTGTCTGACAGGGTCCAGCCAGGAGACAGGAGCCACACCTGTTATGTGAACAGAGATTTAAACACAGAGTTCTTCACTGGGAAAGTGTGCGGGCCAGCTCTGTAGGTTGTTGATGGGTTGAAGGCCACGGGCTGCTGCACTGACACCCCGTGTACCTTCAGCCGGCCTCACTGGCCGAGTGGGTGTCCCTTCCTCCCCCACCATTCTTTGTGGGACTCACCAGAGGGAGGAGGACAAGGCTTCTATCGAAATCGTATGACGTAACTCCTCCCAGGCTCGTTACACTGATATGAAAAGACAGATTCTAAATTCCTTTGTAAGCTGTAAGTGATATGTGAGCACGGAGCTGATTATTATTCTTGATCTACAATGTGAGGTGGGGGATTAAACTGTGGGTTTGACTTTTCCCACACTCTCCCTTTCCCATTCAAGCATGAGCTGGCACCTAGCAGGTGCTCAATAAATGTCTGAATGCAAGCATTGATTGCCTTTGAGTGATTAAGTGTTAATCCCCGTGATGGGGAGTGACTCACGAAAACATTTTTTTCTTGACTTATATAAACACCGGAGAAAATTTGTTATTGACGGAGTACTCAGTGAACTACCTCTCTGAGCTACCTTCCCATTTCTGGGATCCTTCAAACGTTGGAGCCTTGAGAACAGTTTTGGCCCTTAGAAGATTTTCCCTTTTGACTAACCTGCCTGTTTTCCCTAACAGGTTGGGAAAGAGGAATCAACGTTTGTAAATATCAATAAGAAATCCAGTCTTCAGGATGCTAATGTAAGGTCTGTTGCTTCTTGTTTGACTGGGGAAACGATGCCCTGTGCCATCAGTGTTATCCTCGAAACATGACTCACAAGGGCATTTGCTAATAAACTCAGAGAGGAAAAAAAGAAAATTGCAAAGCATGTCAGTACGAAGAGGTAGAAAGAGACTGGCTTAAAACAACTCAAGTCTCAAAAATGCTGCTTACTCTCGGTTTTCTTATTTTTAACCGCCGTGCTAACAAAGAAATCACTTTGAGTTGCTTCTCAAGGATACAGATAAGACCTTGTCATTCCCCTGCTTGACATCCTTTCTTTAAAGACTCTGCTCTGCTTTCAGAGTGGAGTCCGGACTTCTCCACGGAGCACGGGAGACCCCTTCGCACAGGGCTTTTGCTCTCTGTCGCCATTCAGTTCATCACTCTTCCTTTGGCCATTGATGTACTCTTTATCCTGAGCTCCTTTCTGGTACTAGAACCACACATGTTCCTTTTTTTTTTTTTTAATAAAGATTTTATTTATTTATTCATGAGAGACAGAGAGAGAGAGAGAGGCAGAGACACAGGCAGAGGGAGAAGCAGGCTCCATGCGGGGAGCCTGACGTGGGACTCGATCCCGGGTCCCCAGGATCACACCCTGGGCTGTAAGGCAGCACTAAACCACTGAGCCACCTCGGCTGCCCACCACACATGCTCCTTAAAGCTTCCAGGCCACCACTGCTTTAAACCCAGAGGAAAACCTTCCTCCTCTGATCTCACAGAGAGCAGACGCCCTTCCCCTCTCACCCCAAGTAATTAACAACCTGTAAATCATGGCAGTTCCTTGCCACCTTGGTGGTCTGCTAATACTGGCGGGGTATCACTAGGGTAGAGTTTCCTAGAATGGGTCCAAGGGTCACTGCAGCAGTATTGCATTAAAAACACAGACCTTTAGGGGTGCCTGGGTGGCTCCATTGGTTAAGCCTCAGGCTCTTGATTTTGGCTGGGTGTGATCTCAGGGTCATGAGATTGAGCCCCATATCAGTCTCCGAGCTCTGTGGGGAGTTAGCTTGAGATTCTCTCTCTCCCTCTTCCCCCTCCCCCGACCATGTGCATGTGTACTCTCTCTCTCTCAAATAAGTAAATAAATTTTAAACACACACACACACACACACACACACACACACACACACAGACTCTTGGATCCTACCCCAGACCTTTCAGATGCTTTGGGGTGGGGTGGGGTGGGGTAGACAGGAACCAGAATTTCAGCAAGTACCCTGGGTGTTCCAGAAACTGCTACTCTGGGGAATTCTTGATGTTAAAAATAAAACTGATACTTTTCTATGTCACCTTTGATTCCTAATCTGTGTTCTCAGTATAAGGTTGTCTTACTCCAGCGAATGTACCCAGCTGCCTCCTGGAGTTTTCAAAATCTTAATTCATCCCTTCCCATCCTACCCCAGTAACCTGTTTGTCACTCTTGGTTAATGGCATTATTACCTACCCATTTTCCAGATCTGATACCTGGGAGTCCTTGACTTTCCTCTTTCATCCCTTCATGAAATTGGTCACATATCTTGCTAATTCGATATTCGTATTTCCCCTCACATCTATCCTTTCCTCCTTCATGACCCTTATCCTTCATGACCCTTATCTACCACAAGCCTTCACCATCTCTCTGTCTGTATACCTACTACCACAGTCTCTAAAGATGCTCCCAGCATCTCCATCTCTTCACCAGTATTCTCTTCCTTGCTCTAAGGGCTTTTCCAGAAAGCAAGCCTGACTATGCCATTCCCTTGCCTAAAACCTTTAGTGACACCTTGACCTTCAGTGTAAACTCCTGAGTCTGAGGCCCCTCAGGACCTGGTCCCTGCTTCCCCCTCTTGTGGAAATGCCTGGTTCCTCTGTTGAGACCTCACCCACAGGAGGTTCCAGCACTTGCATTCTGTAGCTCTCTACTCTGTCTTCCTTGGAAGTCTTCTCTCTGTCTGCCTAAGTGTAAACTCCTCCATGAAGCTTTCCAGATGCCCAACCATTCCACCCAAGTGAAGCTATGTGCTCCCCTGGTTGAGCGTGAGTTCTTCCAGGGACTACGTTCAGTTGACTCTAGGGTCCTAGCTTGAGGAAATCATGAACCTAAGCTATGGTGACTCCAGTTTCTCTATTTGCTCTTCTTTCACATGTTTATTCAACAAATATTGATTAGGCACTGGCCACATGCCCATCACCATATTAGACACTAAATAGAAGAGGAAATGGGGGCTCAGAATTGTTCAGTGACTTGCCAGAAGTTCCTTGTTGAGGACCTCAACTTCTTTTGATGTCCTTAGGTCCCAGAAGGTAATTTCTGATTTGTTAAATGAAATTAGTCAAAACTGCTACAAAAACACGTGAAAGCTTTTTCTTAAAAATCACTGTTTTGATTGAGCCCATTGGTTATCTGGCATATTTCCTTGAGGAAATATAGAAGTGAAACAATTTTTACCATTTTCACATATACACAAAATTAAAATGTTATAGAACAAGTCTTAAAGGCCTTCTGATTATGCATTTTTCACATTAAATACTGTGTTTATATTTAAAAAAACATATTCTGTGCTATATTTAAAATAACATAGCTACCAGATTACTTGGAAGTAAAAATGGGTTATCCACAGGCTTCTCTTTGCTCATTTTATTGGCAAAACCTGGGAATGAACCAAACCCTGGAGGTAGGTGTTTTGGGCAGGGAAGCTTTATGTTGTACCCCAATTATACTCAGTTCTTACTTGCTATATTTTCTTCCCTATGATTTTGGTTTTTGTTTTTGGATTTTCTATGACATGTTTAAAAATTATATTTAATAAGTAGAGTGGAAAGGAGGAAAAATGGATATGTTGACCATCAATGTTATTAAGGGTTTAAAATAACTGAGAAAGCAGTTCCTACAGCCAAAACTAGACCATAAACTTTTCTGTTGGTGATGTTCTGTTTTTGGTATGTGTCTAGAAGTCCTATTCCTATACGTGTGGAAACTACCCAACCAGCAATGGAAAAGCCGGAAATCAAGCCTCCCCGAGTGAGGAAGTTAACAAGACAATACAGTTTGTGAGTTCTGTACTGCAAGTTTGTCAATTATAATCACAAAGTTGATGGTACATTTTCCATTATAAATGCTTCTTAGCCTTTCACACCATTTCCAAAGAGCCATGCCCCAAAATACAGTTTTGTTTCCAATTTAGGTTATAATGGTACTAGACTTTTCTCCCTAAAAACATTACATGGTTGGCATATGTATTGATCATTGATTGCTGTGTAATGAATTACTCCGAAATTAGTGGTTTTAAATAGTCTACATCTATTACCTCACAGTTTATGTGAGTTGGAAGTCTGGGCATGGCTTAGTTGGATCTGTTGTGTCAGGGTCTCTTAACATTCGAGGTGTGGGCAAAGGCTGTGGTCTCATCTGAAGGCTTATTCTTGCAGATTGAGACAAGATTTGGTTCTTGCTGGCTGTTGTCTGGAGGTCATCCTCAGTTCCTAGCCACGTATACCTCTCTAGCTTTCCGCATCAGAGAAAGTACACAAGAAGAGCCAGAGAGAACTCTTGCAAGGCAAAAGTCATAGCCTTTTGTGACCTAATCACAAATGACATCCCATTATTTTTGCCATTTTCTTTTCATTAGAAGCAAGTCACTAGGGCCAGCCCATACTCAAGGGTCAGGGATTACACAGGGGCATGAAAACCAGGATGGGGAATCATGAGAAACCATATCAAAAGCTGCCTCTATTCCATAATTGTGAAATGGTATCATGGTCTGCAAACAGAACCAAAACTAATCACTGAGCTGTATGAGATCTATGGGAGGAGTCATATCCCAAAGTATCCCAGAACCACCAGGGCCTGTCCAGTTTTGTTCAGATTAACAAAAATTTATTGGCTACCATTTGCACAGTGTTGTTTCAGGCTGTTCTAGGAAGAACAAAATGACTTTGACTGTTCCCATCTGAGGGGTCACAATTTATTGGAGGGAGAGACAGATTGTAAATAATTACAATCCAAAGAAGACAGGCAACTGCTGTAATAAGAGTAGTAGTATTGTAGTAAGAGTAGTAGTGCTAATCACAATGGTAGTTCCATTTCTTGACCTTGGTGTAGCACTCTGCTGGGTGTGTAATTGGTCAGAGGGTTGCAGGGATATCTTTGGTTGCTATGGAAACCATGCAGCTCTGGAGTCAGAAAGGCTTCTGGCAGAGTCCTGGCTAGTTTATTGCTCTAAACTCTTAGAGAAATTACTTTTTCAGCCTCTTTCCTTGTCTGTAAAATGGGTGACATACCTAGCCCTGAGGAATTTGGTGAGGGTTGACATGGGGTAATGCGAGTACAGCCCATAGCAAGGGACCTGGCCAGAAGATGAACTATCTCCCTTTCCTCTCTTCTCAAGGACGTGAAAGCCTCTGAGAAAAGGTCAAGATTGGGGGGTACCCTGAGTGCAAAGTGTAGGCTGAGGAGGGTGACTCTGGATGCACTCCTCAAACAGCCATCTCGAGCCTGCCACCTGCACCTGATGAAAAGGAAGACACAGCCACCTCCCACATCATTAGCCTTAATAGAAACTCTGGACAGTTAGAGCAGCTGTATTTCCTAGGAAAGCCAAAATGAGCAATTCAAATAATTAACAGTCCTAATGGTTTCTGGGGGACAAATTAAACCATGAAAAAATCTGCTCCCTTGAGGATAAAGCTGTCAGGATTAGACTTTTACATTTTGAAACTCCAAATGCTATTATCACCTATTTGGGATATGTAATCATGTTGGAAACAATGACTAATAGTGGCCTGGAAGGGAAGAAAATTTAACTCACTACAGTGGCTCTTTTAAGTAAACCCTTTTCAAACCTCTAACTTCGTATATGTATTTCTTAAGTTGCCCCAAAGTATTTTTGCTTCAAAAATCAAGGAATAGCAGCATTTTCTGCATTAGTAATGAAAGAAAAATTAATGGATGAGATTTTCCCAGGTTTAAGTTTTTGTGCCATAAAAATAGTTCTTCAGTTGCTGACACTAGTCACCATGTATTTTCTCATCTCTTCCAGTCATAGATATTGATAAGTTAATAAACACAATGTCAAGGAATATAGATGGAAACACTCAGATTTCCCATTTTATTTTTTAAAAGATTTTATTTATTTATTCATGATAGACAGAGAGAGAGAGAGAGAGAGGCAGAGACACAGGCAGAGGGAGAAGCAGGCTCCATGCCAGGAGCCCGACGGGGGACTCGATCCCGGGACTCCAAGATCACACCCTGGGCAAAGGCAGGCACCAAACCGCTGAGCCACCCAGGGATACCCAGGTTTCCCATTTTAAAAATATTTCTGCATTACTATTTTTGAAACACACACATACATACACACATACACACACAGCCCTTTTGACTGTTGGGATATTCTGAGTTCCTAGACCAGCATGATCTGTATTTGGATTTTAGGGTTCCCCACCAAGAGCATCATGATGTTCAAATGCTCTGAACAAGTTTTCAAGTTGATGTTTTTATCTATTTTTAAAAATATTTTTAAAGATTTTATTTATTTATTCATGAGCGACACAGAGAGAGAGAGGCAGAGACACAGGCAGAGGGAGAAGCAGGCTCCATGCAGGGAGCCCGACGTGGGACTCGATCCCAGGACTCCAGGATCATGCCCTGGGCTGAAGGCAGACGCTCAACTGCCGAACCACCCAGGCGTCCCCAAATTGATCCTTTTAAGGATATAAACAACTCAGCCATGTTCTTTCCTGGAAGTAATGACATAGCGAAGAAACGTGTGACTGCTGTGTATAGAGAAGAGAGAGACACAGAACTCTATGTAGAGTTTGAGGCAGGAAAGAGTGTCCTTCTTTGATACCAGCCAGGATGTTTAGAAAATGATGAGCGGCTTTATTTTCATCTAGAAATTTAACTTTACTATTTATTTAAACATAGTATAAAAGTCTGAAAATATTCTAAAGAGAAAAATATTGTAAGTCTGAAGAGAAAAGCTAACCATTTTCCTAGAATCATGCCATCAAAAATAACCTATGTTCACATTTAATGACTATTGCTGTAGACATTTTTCACATATTGTTAAAATGGAAGGAAATCATTTCAAAGAAAATAATCTAACTATACACAAAATTGTCCTTATTAAATGATATTTCATGAATTTAACATGAATTTACCTCAGAAACTGGGGTTGAATTGAAAGACGCATTGCAGTTAGGCAGATTATCTCTTTGCCACAAAATCTGAGTTAGGACAAAAGGTTATAAAAACCATCAAGAATCTGGAGTCTTTTTCAATTTTAGGCAGTGTCAGTTGACTTCCTGCTGTGAGAGATTAGCTATGTTTTTTTTTTTAATGGCCTATAATGTTAAACTGCATAACTATGCTTTTAAGGTTATGATTTTCTTTTGTAATGAGGCAGAAAAGAATTTTAACCCCCGTCTTCCACTTAACTAGCTGTGTCACCTTGAGCAAGTCGTGTCACAATCAGCCACTGACTAGCGTCTGCTTCTCTGAAGAGTGGAGATTATAATGCAGGGCTGGTGTAAAAATTATATGGCAAATGCATGAGTTACTGATCTGATTAACTTCATCAGCATGGATCTACATATGTGGCATCTTATTCATTTTTCCCACTTACTTGTTCCAGCCTCACCTGTCTCCTTCCTAAAACTAAGTCCTAAATCCTCCTCTTAAGGCTTTTCTGTCGACAGAATGATCCCAAGTCCCCCAGAAACTCCCTCGACGAGTCCCACCTACAGCTCAGTTGTATACCATGGCCACATTTTGCACAAGGCCATTGGCATGATGAGGACCCTGTGAGGGACCCTGCTCAGGCCACACTGGTGCCCACTGTCCATGGAACTTTTATCTACACCTCTTGCTCAGCCACCATTTCTAAAACAGAACTCCTGGGATGCCTGGGTGGCTCAGTGGTTGAGCATCTCCCTTCAGCTCAGGGAGTCATCCTGGGTCCGGGGATCGAGTCCCACATAGGGCTCCTTATGGGGATCCTATGTCTCTGCCTCTCTGTGTTTCTCATGAATAGATAAGATCTTTAAAAAATAAAAATAAAACATAAATAAAATATAACTCCTGTGCCGGGGTAGCTCTAGGAGTTCCACATGGAAGCCCCCTAGGAAACATGTATCAGGGTCCCAAAGACTACCCTCAAGTCTGATTATTCACTGGAAGGACTTGCAAAACTCAGAAAAGCTGTTATCCTCATGGTCATGGCTTATTCCAGTGGAAGAATACAGATTAAAATCAGCAAAGGAAAAGACACAGAGTGGATAAGAAGCCTGGGCACCAGCTTCCACTTGTCTTGTCCTGAGGAGTCACAGGGTCAGTGTTTAATTCTTCCAGCAACAACATGTGACAGCATATGTGAAGTAGTACCAAGCAGGGCAACTCACCGGAGCCTTGGTATCCAGGCTTATTATTGGGGGTCAGTCACATAGTCATGGAACAGGTACCCAGTCTCCAACAACCAACCCCTAACCCCAAGATCAAATTGATATTAGTGTGAGCATATAGTGAAGACCTGTAATCAAAAGCAGGTTTTGTCTGCAGGTCTTCACTAGAAGTCACATTGCTAGCATAGACTATGTGGCATGGCCCAAGGTCAGGTATGCAGTGACACCCTTATCATGCAGATATGCCCAGGGCCCCGAGGTTCTCCCAGAAGCTCATCAGTGGCCAGAGGTTTGGAATGTGCCGAGTTAGAGCACCCCAGGCCTGCAGGGTCAGCCCTTTACTGCACAGGCGGCATTCTGGTTGACAGTAGGGGATCAAGGACTTGGCTTAATTTCTGTAAATTTGAGAAGATACTGTCCATACTAAGAATGGCTGATTGATGGCACTGGTCTGTCCTGTGCCAGTATGAGCAGATTAACAGGGCGTCCTGCCTTAATGTACTTGGTGGGAGGCCAAGCCTGCCCCACAAATCCAAGCCCTGGAAACAAACCCAGAATGCAACCCAGACTTCTCCTCCATCGTGGTGACTTCCTGTCTAGTGTACTTTCGCACCTGCATCATCCCATTCCACCAGAGAGGTTCCAAGACCAGAGCTGTGAGGCCCCAGACAAACATGCCCAGCTCCTCCCCTGTAACTATTTTGTCACACCAGAGGAACAGTTGTTATTAGGCCATGACAGGGGTGATTATACTTTTCACTCAGGGCATTTGGTTCTTAAATGGCTTGTATTTACCCTCCTAAGGGAAGTCACTCCCTTGGTTTGGTGGCTCCTCAAAAAACTTCAGCATAGGACTACCATATGACCCAGCAATTCCACCTCAAGTGGAATCCCAATCCAAAGGAATTGAAAGCAAGATCTCAAACACATGTTAGTACATCAACAGGTGCATGGATAAACAAAACATAGCCCATCAATGCAATGGAATATTATCCAGCCTTAAAAAGGAATGAAATTTTGGTGTATGGTGCAACATGGATGGGCCTTGGAAACATTATGGTAAGTGAGATTAACCAGATACAGAAGGACATATATTGTTTGATTCCACTAATATGAGGTCCCTAGAATAGTTAAATTCATCCAGACAGAAAGCAGAACAGCTGTTACCAGGGGCCTCAGGGAGAGGACACTGCAAGTTACTGTTCCATGGATACAGAGTTGCTGTTGGGGGTGATGAAAAAGTTTTGGGTGGAGATGGTGAGGATGGGCCCCCAACATTGTGAATGTACGCTTCCCAATGGAAAAGAAATTATAAATATTATGTATATCTTTCCATAATAAAGACAATTTTCTTAATCCCTTGGCAAATGACAAAAAAAAAAAAAAATTCAGCCCAAATTGGCTTTGGCAAAAATGTCACTGTCTTGCCTCCTGGAAGCTGGACATCTGGCAGACATCTGTTTGGGGAGCTCCCCCACCCCCTCCCGGCCCTCCCTCTGCTCCCCACAGCCTGTTTATTGTCGTAATGAGCAGAGCTTCATGTGCTTTTAGTAACCGCAGTGATGAAGATGACCTCCCTCCTGACCTGGCCGAGGCAGTAGGAGCGCCCACAGCCGCCGCCACAAACACCACCACGGCCACCACGCAAGTCTCAGCACCGCTGGTGTCCCCCAAGGGCCACAAACTCAGCTCGCCTCAGAACTCAGAAGGCAAGGGTCAGCTGTCCCCGGGGGCCAAGGTACGGGGGGGAAGCCCCAAGGAGTAGCTGCACTTGCTAGGAATTCAGTATCAATTTAGTGCATGGCATCCCGCGTGCACTGAAACTTGGCGCAGTCAACCGTGTGCTCATAAAACAAGGGTGACAACCACCAGGGCAGGGGTTTTATATAACTCTCCCCAGAAGAAGACCTGTTTATGAGCCCCAAATGGTATCATAAAGGCTTTGCACAATGTACTTTAAGAGAAAATGGAAGAGATCTTGGAGGGCAATTTTGGGTTTAGAGTATCATCCCTATATAAGCTTCACCGCACCATAAACATAGGAAAGAAATGGTTTTCCCCTCATCATGGAAAATTTGGAGCAGTAAAAACATGGAAGTGTCCCCGTCCCACTCCTTATATTGGATGGGTCCATGTGAATAGTTTGAAAATGGACAATATTATTTTGACAGTTCGCAATTTCAGGAAGTCGCCAGCTATGTGAATGGGCTGTGGCAAAGGTCTTGCTCAAGGCATTTCTCTCGGTTTTCTCTGAGTGACCCTTAGCTATGGTCATTCTGCAGCAGTTGGTCTGAATACGTTCAAACCTATTGCACTATGAGTAGATGGCAAGTCAGAGGCTGCTTGGTCTGTGGTTCCCACTGAGGAACGGTGGGGGCCTTGAAGGCAAGAGCAGCCCCCAGACTCTGTTCCCAGCTGGTCCTTTCACACACTTGAGACGTGCAGGTACGCCGCAGACCTGTTTCCCCAAGCCTGTTTCCTTCCCCTAAAAATGGGAATAAGGTCTGCTTCCCTGCCCAGCTGATGGGCCAGCATCAGGTCCAGTGGAGGTGACATCTGGGCCAACTGGTCATGATTCCTAGTAGCCTCTAGGTCAACAATGGGCCCGGCTGTATCTGTATCCTGCTTGACCGGCTGGTCATTTACCAGTTCCCCCTCCCCAGGATCTTTGGGAATCCCTTTGTGGTGCTCAGCAGGAGATCCTGCTCAGGCCAGGGACCCCTCAGCCAGGGACCAGCCCAGACTGAGGCTCCCTGCTTTCCTGTAAATCACCTCCTGGTATGTTGAGCTAAGTTCCCCTGTCTTGGCAGAGCCCCTCACACTGCTTTGTTCGAAGTGTGAACATGGGTTCCTATCATATATTCTTCACCATGGTTAAAACCAAGCAAAAAAAAAAAAAAAAAGTATGAAACAAAGGAGAATTCAGTGGGGATGGGGATGTGGGTGGCATCCTACCAGAGGCCACAGGGCTCCCTCTCCTGGCCATCTCTCTCCTTAGGGCCCTGCTTGTGCCAAGTTGATGGGGGTTATTTTTTTTCCCCATAAAGGACCTGTAGGCCTCCCATGCTGCTGAGACCCCAGGGCAAAAAGGGAAAAAAATGTTTTCTGAAAAACTGCATGTGGGTTTCAGAGATACCTTCCTCCCACCATGAAGATCTTCCTCATTACTATGCAGATGTCGTTTTTTGTTTTTTAATTTTTAGGGGCGCCTGGGTGGCTCAGTTGGTTAACCATCTACTTTCAGCTCAGATCATGATGATCCCAGGGTCCTGGGATAGAGCCCCGCCTCTGGCTCTCTGCTCAAGAAGGAGTCTGCTTCTCCCTCTCCCTCTGCCATTCCTCCTGCTTGTGTGCTCTCTCACTCTGTCAAATAAATAAGTAAAATCTCTAAAAAAAAATTTTGTTTTTAAAATAAACTCTGAAAAAAAAAGAAAAAAAAAGAAAATAAACTCTGTGCCACACATGGAGCTTGAACTCATGACCCTGAAATCAAGAGTTACGTGCTCGACATCCCCTGGGCATGTGAGTTTAGCTCCTTGAGGGTTTGGCCCGCTAGATACAGAATGAGATCTTTTCTCTATATATATTCAGATGACTCTTTTTAAAAAAATTTTTTTTAGATTTTATTTATTCATTTGTTCATGAGAGACACACACACAGAGAATGGCAGAGACACAGGCAGAGGGAGAAGCAGGCTCCGTGCAGGGAGCCCGATGCAGGACTCGATCCCGGGTCTCCAGGATCATGCCCTGGGCTGAAGGCAGTGCTAAACCGCTGAGCCACCCGGGCTGCCCCTCAGAGGACTCTTTGAAGCATTTCCCCTCACAAAAGACCAAAGAACACTCAGAGCACTTAAAAGAAGTTGTTTGCACCTTTTTAAAAAAGGCGGTTCCCTAGCCTGCACACTGTTTCTACCCATTAAGGTTTCAGAAAACATTTGGGGTTTGGTTTCTATAATTTGCACACTGCTGGGAAAGCAAACAGTCTGGGGGATTGGCACGGTCAGGGGCTCAGTGATGGAAAAAGTCTGTGTTTTCTGGGGACTTCCCTTGTTGGTCCAGAGTTGACACTGACCAGCAATATTTTTATCTGCCTTCCTAGAGTCCCTCTGACCGAGGAGGTGCCTTTACCTTGGAGCCAGGCGATCTCCTGATGGACTTCACAGAAGCTACTCCTCTGGTAAACTTCCCATTTTGCTAAAACCAGAAAAGCCACAGACCATAGAAACATCTTGGCAGTGGGACGGATGGACAGAGGTGGGCATCGCTGTTGGGAAGGCTCTTCCTCTTGTCCTGCTCACGGCCTGGAGGTTCAGGGATCAGCCTTCTTTGGGGGTTCAGGCACATGGGTCCCTTTACCTCCCAGAGCCCTCAAGAAGACGGTGCTCTTTTTCCCCTGAAAAGGGCAGCTACCGGGGTCCCACCCTGCCTGTCTGCTGCTTCCCCAGCGGGTTGGGATCCTTGGTGCTTGGGTCTTGGCTTTTTGGCTTCCTGGGCTGCTCCCTGCATGCCCACCCATGGGGCACCTTTTGCTGCTGCTTCCAACAATGTGCTCTGGTCCGAAGCACTGGCTCAAGGCCTCACTCCAGCTTTCCAAGGCCTCTCGTGCCCCCCTGCCCTGCCATCCTCCATCCTCTGCATACAGGTCTTCCCTTAGGGATGGTGGTCCTCATGAGACTCCTGCAGGCAAGAAACCCTTGCAGGGGAGAGAGCCCTGGCCCAGGAGTCATGCAGGCCAGACCTGGCTCCAGTCTCTGCTCCTCTCCTTAGGAGCCTTGTCATGGGGTAAAGGATGCCATCGTTTGCCGTATCTGCCTAAGAGTGTCTTAATGATCACATGAGACAGAGAAAGCCCTCGAAGAATATAAAAGCACCATAAATGTGTGTGAGATATTATGAATAGCATTAGGTGACACAGGCAAACTTGGATGCTCTTTTGGCTGATACCCAAGTGAACCTCAGCATAGATCATGGTCCACAAATGTGGAATGTGAGTCAAAATGTGAACCAAGTCAAAACCTACCTCCCGAGAACTCAACACAGAGTGGGTCATGTGTGGGAGGCTCTGGGAGAGGACGGGGCAGCTGGAGGCTGGAGGGAAGTCAGGTTGATGGAGGGCCAGGCTTGACAGGAGAAGCCAGGAGTGGGAGTCGTTCAGGAAGGGCTCGCGGGAGGAGCTGGTGGTGGATAGGAAGGGTTTCTGGAAGGCTTTCAAAGAGGGGATGAATGAGGCAGATTATGGTCTAGGCTTTAGGAGGGATCACCGTCCCTGCTTCAGCTGGCAGAGGGCACTCATTTGTGATCTATACAGCTGTACTTCTCGTCTGGAGAGTTGGTACCGTCCAAGAGCTTCGAGTCAGCACGTTTGGATGAATAGCTGAGAACGGACAGTGGGCGAGCCGGCCTGCTCCGGGAACGTTGGGGGTTACTCCCTTCCCGTGTCAGAGAAAATGCAGCTGAGTTATCGATGGTCTTCTTGTTAGACAAATTGCCAAAATAGGATAACCCAGAAGCAGGGCCTTCTCTCATCAGCTTGTCATCCTTTTGCACAGATGGGGAAACTGAGTCCCCAAGTGGGGATGGGGCCAGAGCCCAGGTGTTCCAGTTCCTTCTCTGCTGCCCTTTGCATCACCAGATTGGGCTGAATGTGGCATCTGGATTTCAGAGACTTGCCACTTTGGGGCAGAGCAGTGCCTGGAAGAGGGGCTGTGTTTAAAGCACTCCTCAGACTGAGAACACAGAATAAGGGGTGTGCGGGACGGGACAGCAAGTTAAACAGCCTGGGCCTGGTGCTACATCAGGATCCCAACTGAGTGTCCCAGTGGAGGCCTTACACCCTAGGAGGGCCACGGGGGTGGGGGGCGGCTAGAAGCCAGGGCAGCAGTCTGAGGACATCAGTCTAGCTGCAGGGCAGCAAACCCCAAAGGGACCTGAGAACCCCTAGGGCACAATGTGAGGGCCTACGGAGGCAGAAGGGGGAGAAAGCTGAGTTCCTAGACCCATGCTGAAGAAAACACGCTGGGCAGGAATAGGAGGCAGTAGGGGAATATTGCTCTCTGAGTTAGGCTTGAGCAATTTCCAGAATGTGGAGGCATGCTGCAGGTAATGCCATCTAAGAGCCTATAGGAACTGCTACTTTTGTGGGACCCAGTGCTTTAGCCTGTCTGGGGGCCACTGAGCAAAAGAAGGCTTCATAGCATGGGGGTTTTGAAGTATGAGTAGGAGTTTGCCAGATGGAGGAAATGGACCAGAGCATCTTATGCCAAGGGTGCAGCATGAACAAAATACTGAGTCTTTATGAAAGGTTCTGGCAGACCTGAGAAACTCGGGGTAGTTTATAAAAATATATCTTACGTGGCTCTGACAGGATCAGTAGGATTTCCTGAAAACACATTGTGTTGCCGATCCAGAGGGAAGATTTCATTGTCCCATTTTTATCTTTGAACGTTAATGGTCTGATAATAGAAAGGAAGTGGCATCTGTGTGGGACCCAGAGGTCACCTGATCTGAGGTGCCAGTACCTCTGCTTGTACCCCCCTGGCCACAGGGAGCTCACTCCCTCTCTGAGGATACCTTGCCATCTCTGGGCTGCTCTGACTGAGCCCTGAAGCGGGGCCCAGGGTGCTGCACTTCCCCGGGCACAGGGCAGCTGAGGTCCTCGTCCTGTAGTGGGACCTGGCTGCCCCCTTCACTGCTGCAGTGTGCTGTGAATACGTGATCTCAGGATGAAGCATCCTTTGTCTTGCTTATGTGGCTTTGGGGTGGGAGTGCATGTGCATCCACGTACATGTTCACACGGAAGGTATGCAGGAGGGCTGGTGTTTTCATGAGACCCCACTCCATTTGGGGCTGTCCTTGGCATCACCAGCTCTGACCTTATGTCCCTCCAGACTCCTGTCTTCACCAATGCCGAGTGGTCCTGGAGAGGGAGGGGGCTCCAGCAGCCTTTTTCTCCTGTCAGGTCTTCTTACCTCCATGCTTCACCTGCTCCGCCTCGCATCATAGAAATGCAAGCAGCAGTCCTCTCTGTTCTTCTGGAGGAGAGGGTGGGGGCATGGTGTCTCTGCCCCAGAGGACAGTGGAGGAGAGATGGATTTAGGGCCTGGGGCTGGATGAGACTCCCAAAGCCACAGCACCACCCTGCTTCCTTGGGCCAGAGCTCAAAGGACAGCAGAGAAAGGATTGGGACCGGATTCTCTTGCCTTCGTTCGGCGACGTTCCATCAAGGCATTAGAAGTGCTGGTCTAACCCTTAGGCCTCCAATCCTGATGATCCAGTCTCTGTGTGGAGTGGTTTTCAAAGAAGCACAGTCCAAACAACTGAGAATAAGAGTAAGCTTCAGTCTTTAACTGGCATCTCTCAAAAAGCATCCAGGATTAAATTATCACCTCCCTGGTAACACTTCTCAAATCCCACTTTGCTTCCTTCTTAATTCTCTTGCACCCTGCACGACTCCAAGGATTTTCATCCTCAAACTCTCCAAAAACACATTCTTTCCAGTGTGTCAGTCTTGCAACACTTTCTCCTCCTTTTTTCCCATGTCTTTTCTTCTCCAGTCCCCAACTCTTCCATTCTGTAGCTCCATTTAGCAATAGACACCCTGCCACCTGTGTAGCTTGTTGCTTGCCCGGGGCTGGAATCCTCATCGCACACCTGACAGTCAGACTGGAGTTTCTAGCCGGGATGGGAGAAGTGGGGCGAGAGAGAGGATCGGGAGGGAAGAAAGCAAATGAGTGGAGACCCATTGTCCACGGTGGAAGGTGAGTCTGGGCACGTGCCCGGGGTGTTGGTGTTGGCGGAGTAGAATGAGGACACGTCGCCCAGCTGCAAAGTGGAGGTGCTCAGGACCCAGGTCTGTTCTGGGCCTGGGAATATTAGAGTTCACGTGCCAGGGAGGAGCCTGGCCTGGCCACAGGAAGGTTGTGTCGGGCAAAGAAGTGCGCCCTGGGCCCGGTATCAGAAGAAGTGGTTTTCCATCTCTCTCAATAACGTATTTTTTTTATTTTGAATCTCGTTCTATCGGGAAGGCTGAAGCTTGACCCCCATCTTCCTGGGGAATCATCCATCTTCCCCAGGGCACAGGAAGATGGAGGGAAGTCTGTTTAGTTTGTGATGTCATCTGTTTGCTGATGCATCTGGGGCATCCCCTGCTTCCCTCGTGCCCCTTTTGGATGAGAGGCAGTCTCTGTCCTGCTGGGATGAGCATCCCTTGTCCTTCTGGACATGCCACACAGCCATCCATTCTACCCCGGGACCTGCCACCTCCCCAGTTTCACCTGGGCAGAGGGACACTAGTCCCTCTCTGCTCTTCAATCCCTGTGCCCGAGCCTGAGCCTGTGAAGGAGGGGCACAGGCCCGGCTGCTCACTACTTCCCAATGTCTACCCGTCCTCACGTGCTCTCTGACTTGTCTCTCCAGTCCTCAAACTGGCAACCTCTTTGCTTATCTGAATGATAAAGAAGCCTTTCACATTTTCATCCTCATTTGTCTATGCCAGAAATCTTTCTGTTTCCCCAAAGAGTCAAGATTTTAAACCTCAAAAGCCAAGTAGCTTAGAAGAACTTAGGTGCCTGGATGTGGAAAAAAAGAGCCAAGGAGGAGAGGAAATGCCAGGAGAAAAAAAAAATAAAATGGAATCTCAAAATTGTATTCTGTTACACGTGTTGTTTCCTGTTCATTTACTAACAGATGCACATTTAGAAAGATCATGAATGCGTGTGGGATGGATCAACATTTCTTCACCGTAAAAGTCCAATGCTGGGCAAAGCCTTAGGACATTCATCATAATCTTCAGCTAGAACACTAGTGGCTTGTACACATTATGGCATCCAAGCAATAGGGTCCATGTTTATGGATCATTTATACCAGCTTTTATTTCCTTCAAAAAGCACACAGGAGTGCCTGCTTATCTGCAGAGGCAAGGCCTTGTGGCCTGGGGTCCCTGATGCAGCTGATTCTGGCTGGGGCAGCGTTGAGAAGCGAGGCTGGAGGGCAGGCTGGAACCTGTTTCAATCAGGTCTCAAATGCCAGCGTATGGAGGGTAGAAGGATTCCCCACCCCGAAGGCAGGAGAGAGCAGTGAGGGGGGAATTCTCAGGAGGCTGCTAAAACTTGGCGGCCGGTGGTTAGCACGGCCTCGAATGTTTCTGAAGGATGGATGCAGAAGCGATCAACAAGAAGGTCTAGAACCACAGGCTTAGACTTCGCAGATGCCATTTTTCTGTATCTCCAGATCTGAGTAGTAAAGCAAGGTGGTCCCCCAGACGGTTGGAGACCCTGGTTGTGAAAGCCCTTTGGAAACTGTCCAGGCCGCACCGGTCGTAGAGGCCGGCGTCAGATCAATTTGGAGACAGAGAAGCCGCCTGCAGTGGTCTTGATCATGTTTCAGTGAGACTTCCCCAGAGGCTGTACTTCGTCCCTTATGGCAGGATGTCCCCGGCTACTCAAGGAACTCTCTGGAACGCAGAGACATGTGGACTTACTGTCTGGAGTGAATGGTCCCTCCTGAGGGACAGGCCACAGCATCCCGGGCAGCAGCCCCCGTCCGGGCCTCAGAGCATCCTCTCCTCACCATCCCGAGCCTCCCAGGGCAAGCTGTCGGCCGCTGCTGGTGCATGGCACTGTTCAGGGCTGGGGTGGGGAAGCCGTAGTACCCCAGGCCATCTGGCATTTTCTCACGATGCTCGATGCCTTCCAGCTAAAGCAGCAGGGGCCCTCAGTGGCGACACGAGGTGTCTAGGTGTCATGCGGCCTGGGCCAGAGGGCTGGGGGCCGGGTGGGGGGCGGTCAGGGCCAGTATGTTTTCTGCACCCAGAGGACAGATCCGAAAGTGCACCGAGCCATGTCTCTCCTGGAGCACCTGTTGGCCCCCCGCTGAGCCCTGCACCCCAACGTGGGCGCCCCCAGGCCCGGCAGGCCCGCCTCCCTGATTCGTCTGCGGCCTGGGCAGGTGCTCCAGGAAGCCGCCACCGGCCCTGCCTGCCAAAGCCTGGGAATGGGGTTTTTGGAGGGGTGGTTCTGCTCAGATAGTGGAGGAGACACCCGAGCACCAGAGAGGAGGAGAGAAGGCAGGGAGAGGAGGGAGGAGGGGGCCCCGAAGCCCGCTGGCCAGAGGCTGGAAGCAGGCGGGGCGCAGGCTGGCTCCAGGGCAGCCTGGGGTTGACAGATCCTTCTTGCACTGTGCTGTCTTTCTCTCCTCCCCGCCCCCCCTCCCCTGCCTCCTGCCCCCCTCTCCTCCGCCTCCCCCCTTCTCTCCTCCCCTCGGAGCAGGCCGAGCCAGCCAGCGCCCCCCACTGTGCCCACTCTCGCTGCTCTCCTCCACTCTCTCCCCTCATGAAGGAAGAGACCACTGGAGTTTGCATGCACCCTCCAATCAAAACGAGGCTGGTAGGTACCCTGGCAGGGAGAGGGGCCTGGCCAGGAGAGCTGAGGCGGGCAGGAGCCCCCAGGCGGCCTCCCCACCCGTGTGCATGGGCGCTAGACCTTCTGGAAGGGCCCGGCTGATAGGTGCTCTGACTCCGGGATGGATGACACAGTTTGGCCAAGTTAGGCCCCACAGGCTGCGGTCCATCCTGCCCTTTGTCTGTAGGTCTCGAGGACCAGGAAGCATTTGTTTTCCTAAAGTTCTGATGAGCAGAGATGCTTTTCCAAGAAAGAAAAAGAAAGAGAAAGAAAGAGAGAAAGAAAGAAAGAAAGAAAGAAAGAAAGAAAGAAAGAAAGAAAGAAAGAGAGAGAGAGAGAGAGAAAGAAGCTGCCTTTCTACTGAAAATAAAAACTTTTTTTTAAAGGTTTTATTGATTCATGAGAGACGCGGAGAGAGGCAGAGACACAGGCAGAGGGAGAAGCAGGCTCCATGCAGGGAGCCTGATGCGGGACTCGATCCTGGGACTCTGGGATCACGCCCTGAACCAAAGGCAGATGCTCAACCACTGAGCCAACCAGGCGCCCCAAAACTTTTTTTTAAGGTTTTTTTTTTTATTTATGCAGGAGAGTCACACACAGAGAGAGGTAGAGACACAGGCAGAGGGAGAAGCAGGCTCCTGGTGGGGAGCCTGATGGGGAACTTGATCCCGGGGGTCCTGGGATCACACCCTGAGCGGAAGGCAGACATTCAACCACTGAGCCACCCAGGCATCCCTGAATGTAAAAACTTCATAAACTTGTCTTTCCCTGCTATGTTTCAAGATAACAGGATGAGTGTTACATGACAACCTGAAAGGAATCACCCATCATCCCGGCCTGGCACAGTGTTTTCGTTTGTTTTGTTTTTTCCATTTGTGCATGTTTCCTTCTAATAGCATTCGTAGTCATTCCTACTTTTACAAAGTGAAATCATAGTCTCCATATCATCTCCCATTTTTTCTCTTTTCACTTAGTGGTGGACTGTCTCTACCTTGTTCTTGTTACTGCATTGTAAATGACCCTATTCCATCCAGTGACTGGTCTACCATTTACGTAACAGATTCTTACGGCAGGACGCCTGCTTTGTTTCCAGTGTGTCATTATTCGAGGGGACACAGATAGCTTTCGTGTCAGGTATTTTATTTTATTAGGCTAGACCCTGGGCCGGGTTCAATATTGTGACTTTGGCTTTGCTCCCTTTCTAAAGTGGTTCTACCAAGTGTCAGCACCATCGGAAGAGTGAATGTGCGTTGCTGCCGCCGAGCAACACAGAGTGTAACTGTTGGGACTGATTTTTTTTTTCTCATTTAGAGAAGATAGAGTATAATTCATTGAAGTTGCCGATATTCACATTTCTTTAATAGCAATAATAATAATAATATTTCTTTTCCCTTTGGCTTCGTGATGGTCTGAGAGTCCTATCTGTATGTTACTTTTCACTTTGCTCTCGGTCTCGGCACACACGCTGAAACATGAGGTCGTGGGAGGAGAACGCACCATGGGGAGAAGCACCCCCCCCCCCCGCCCCCGGTTCCTCTTGCTGCCTTGCAGGCAGCCGCTATCAGCAATCTGAGCTGGCACCTGGGTCTTAAGGCAGTTTGGGGCCCATTCTGGGAATTTTGAGATGTTTAAAGAGACCAAAGAAAGTTTGGGGAAGAGGAGCAGGGGTGGACTGCACATCTCCATGCACACTGCAAAGACACTGTCATGCTCTGAGTGGTTGAAAACTCCTCCACCCATTCAAGAAACCGCAGCAGATTTGGGTCTGTTCTGTTGTGCTCTTGCACATCTGCCTTAACCCCCATCGGAGTGACTCAAGAGCATAAAATAACTACCCTCGGGTCTGCAGACAAGCCCCCAGGGAGAGACACAAAAGCAGCTGCCCGTGGGCAGTGGTGGCCTCAGTGCCCGGGCTGCAGCCTGCTGGTGGCAGGTGGCCTAGCGTGCATTCACCAGCAGGTGTGCAGGCAGTTTCTGTGCCCTGGGGGCCGCAGGCAAAGCTAGTACCAGAGTCGTTAGACCCCTGGGCCTGCTGGCAGTCCTCTAGGCTGGTATAAAGAAATAAGCACACTCCATATTCCCTGAGGGCTCCAGAAGTCCAAAGACAAAATGGCCAAAAAGAATGAAATAGAAGCAAAGGCTGTTTTCGGCCACTCACCACACCTGTGCTTACTTCCGACCAGCCCTGTGCCGCAGCCACCCCCAGCACTGGGCACTTCTGATCACAGTGCCTTTTATCCCAAAGGCCACGGCCGCAGGATTCTCATGTGCGTACAGGGGCCTCCCACTTCCCCAAGGTTTTTCCCTGTGGCCCACGATTTACAGGGAGTCCAACAACTGAAGGGAACAGACAGGAAATACTTGCTGGCCTAATTAGTGCAAAGCCTCCTGGTTCTCTGTCCACCGTCACAGACTGTGTCCCAGGATGTGGCCTGCCTCTAGTCCCTGCCTCACAGCTGTGGGGAAACCATCAGCAGCCACCCAGGCAGCTCTGGCCTGCCGCATTACACACCCTGACCATGGCCTTTATGGATCAGGCCACACATAGGGCCCAGTGTGTCTAGGAGACCCACACAACCTCCAGGGAAGGGAGTTCTGGGGACAGGTAAGCGTGGGTGGCCTGCACACACGGGATTGCAGCCTGTCAGCCCTGCTGGGTCCCAGCCCTACAGCACAAGGACCAGCACAGATACAACCTCTGGCCAAGGGGTCTCTGGGACCTTCTGTACGTTTCTTTATGCAAAGGAGGAGGGCTCTGCGTGTGCTCCCCTGAATCCTTCAATTTGGTTTTAAAAGCGCACTGCCAAAGATTTCAAAACTTTTGTTTTCTTTTGTAACCCTCCTGTCTTTCTCTTTTTTGAAGATAAAAACATTCCCGGCTGATACAGTGACCCCATTTCCTGATGCTTTCAATACAGGGCCACAGTTCACCGTAAGTAGATTCAGAAAACAGGTCTACGTTCTAAAGTGTTGTTTCTGTGCTTTTCTGTGGCATGCCAGACAGCACTGTCGACGGTTGGTTTTGTTTTTTTTAAGATTTATTTATTTTGAGGGAGTGTGGAGGAGGGGCAGAGGGAGAGTCTCAAGCAGACTCTCTATTGAGCCCACAGCCCAACACAGGGCTCAATCCCAGGACCCCGAGACCATGACCTGAGCTTACATCAAGTATTGGAAGCTCAACTGACTGAGCCCCCCCAGCTTCTTGTAATCATATGAACTCTGTGAGGTTGAGAAGGAGTTGGGGTTTGGGACCTCCATCCTTTGGTTATTTTATTTTATTGAAGTGAGCATCACATAAGATAAAATGAATCATTCTAGAGTGACATTTACTACATTTAGTGTCATGCAACTGCTACCTCTCAATCCAAAGCACTCTTTTTTAAAAATATATATATTTTTTATTTATTATTTATTTATCCATGAGAGACACAGAGAGAGAGGCAGAGACACAGGCAGAGGGAGAAGCAGGCTCCATGCAGGGAGCCCGATGTGGGACTCCATCCTAGGGCCCCAGGATCACTCAACAGCTGAGCCACTCAGATGCCCCAATCCAAAACATTCTTATCATCCCCAAAGGACACCTCATTCCCATGAAGGAATCACTCCCCATTTCCCCCTCTCCCTCCAGCCTCTGGCACCCACCAATCTGCCTTCTGTCCCTGGACTTCCCTTGTGGATATTTCAGATAAATGGAATCTTATAATATATAACTTCTTGTGCCTGGCTTCTTTCACTGAGCATCATGTTTTTGAGACTCATGTACAACGTAGGGGGTATCAGTACTTCATTTCTTTTCATTGTGGAATAATATTCCATTGCATATATATACACAGCCCAATTTGTTGATCCATTCAGTCACTGGTTGTCTTTGGGTAGTTTCTACCTTTTGGCTACTGTGAATAATGCTGCTGTGAACACATGTGTACGTGTGTTTGTTTGAGTTCCTGTTTCCAGTTGGTTTGGAGCTACATCTTGATAATGGTGTGATCTTAGGTAAGTCACTTTGCACTCCTGGCACCAGTCTCCTCTTATGTGAATGGAAATGGTAATATTAGGGACCCCTGGGTGGCTCAGTGGTTTGAGCCTTTGGCTCAGGTCATGATCCCGGGGTCTTGGGATCAAGTCTGCATCAGGCTCCTTAGAGGGAGCCTGCTTCTCCCTCTACCTGTGTCTCTACCTCTCTCTCTGTGTCTCTCATAAATAAATAAATAAAATCTTAAAAAAAAAAAGAAATAGTAATATGAATATCCTGTTTGTATCCAATATGTATATGTGCTGCCGAAGAGAGCACATGTTTGTATCCAATATGAATATCCAATTAAGGATCAAAAGGATCACAGAATGTCCCACAAGTGTCAAGCATGGTGGTTGTCCCTCAAGGCCAGAGAGGAAGAGGGGTGTAATTAGTGAGAGCAGGGAGTCATGACAACCTGCTTCATGTCCCCACCTCCCTTTGTGTCACTGAGCAGCTTGTTTGAGTCCTGCAAAATGTCAAAATATTCTTAAACATTTAAATACTGTAGTTTTGAGGCAGCCCTGGTGGCTCAGCAGTTTAGCGCTGCCTTCGGCCCAGGGCGTGATCCTGGAGACCTGGGATGGAGTCCCACGTCGGGCTCCCTGCATGGAGCCTGCTTCTCCCCCTGCCTGTGTCTCTGCCTCTCTCTCTGTGTGTCTCTGAGTGAATAAATTAAAAAAAAAAACCTTACCCCCCCAAAAAAAATTAAATAAATAAATAAATAATCTTTAAAGTAAATAAATAAATAAATACTGTAGTTTTCTCATGTGCAACACGAGTGAGTTTGGTGATTTTCAGACTTCGTTTTAGGCTGCAAGTCTCTTCTTTAAATGAAAGCTTCTGCAGAAGCTCACTACATAAGGAGTGACTGCCTGGAGCAGAAGTGGGGGGTCCAGGATCACCTTCTCTTTCCCCTCACCCTCTCCTCCTCCCAGGGATCAGAGTTTATAATTCCTGGAACTGAGTGATCCCCGAGGCTCCTTCCAGAGGCTTCCTGGCCAGTCTGAAGGATCTGTGAGATGGGCTGGGGGTAGCCTAGGGGTAACCAAAAGTGCACTCTCTTGAGCTAGATGACGGTCACTACCTGAGGTAGCTTTGGCCATGTGGACAGAGAGGGAAGGGGCAGTGGCTGGTGTAGCTTTGGGGGTTGAGCAGAGGTAGGGAGGTGCCCAGTGGTCCAGGCAGAGGCAAAAACAGGTTCCTGGAATAATGCATTTCCAAGGTCATGAGCTGCTTCCAGCACCTGCCTTGTGAGAACCAGAGAGCAGAGACACAGGGCCCAGGCCAGCCAGTTAAATGCTACTACCCTGCAGTCATCCTGCCCCTGCAGCTCCACTGGGCACAGCTCCCCAGCTGGAGGCTCCGGCTCTACTTCCCTCAGCTGGCCCATGGCGGGCTCTCTGGCCTCCTGCCCAGCCTTGGCAGTGCTGTGAGACACCCAGGGAAGCCCTTCCTGAAAAGCTGGGGGCCAAGATGGAGCAGGAAGCCAATGTCAGAAACCACACTGGCACTTTTAAGAACTGGGCAACCGTGGCTCGAGGGCGGCACTTTTCCCAAGGTTCAAGATAGTACTGATGCTGCCAGTCTGGGGACCATACTTTGGGAAGCACCGAGATACTGGTGAGAAACACCAATTCTGGGGTCAGCTAATCCTGCTCCTAAGTACTGGTTCTTCTTAACATTTACTGTGTGACCTTGGGAAAATTACTGAACCTCTCTGAGCCTTACTTTTCTTTTTCATGAAGTCAGCTCTAAGTAAGATACACATTTTTTTCACCTTTTAACTCTCCAAAGTCAGAGTTCATTGCGTTAGTGGGTGCGACAGGGTTCGAATGGCCACATTTTTCTTTCTCTGTGGCACATGGCAAAATGGTGGATCTCACAATGGACGGTGTCTAAGGTGATGGAGGATGACCTCTACCTGAAGGATTGTCACGAGGTAATATGTGTAAAGTGCTTAGCATAGAGCCCAGTTCAAAATAAAACCATTTAATAAGTGGGAACTGATTTTAGCTATTATTAAAAAATAACAGGAATTGTGTGCTAAGGCTTAGGGAGTAGCTGACAGTTTAGAAATGGAACCCAAATTGAGATTGATTTCCTCTTTTCTGTTTTCTCTCCAGGTGGACTTTAGAGACAGTAAATTAGCGTGCTGTCCTGGCCAGTCTTCCCCACTGATTCCAGCAGTGACCCTGAGGCCTTTGACAGAGACCATCTCCACAGTGCAGACCATCTACACCACTCGGAAGCCTGTTTCTCTGGCAGCCAGGTGAGTCCGACCAGCGGGTACCTACCGGCAGGTAACTGGTGATGGGAAAGCAGGCACAGGCCCCAGTTTCATTGGGCCTCTGACGTCTAGAAACCTTTTATTTATTCTTTCATTCATTTTATGTGTTTGTTGAAATGTCTACAAAGGCTACATAGTATTATTCTAGGTCCTCGGGATGTAACCGTGAATAAAACAGATAGAAGTCCTACCTTTGTGGAGTTTACAATTTAGTGTTGGGTGTGAAAGAGAGAGAAAGGGAAGAGGGAGGGAGAGATGGTGACAAGCTAGGGAGGAAAATGAAACCAAGGGTAGGCCAGGAAGGCCTCACAGAGGTGGCTTGTAAGCAGATACCTGAAGGTGGGGAGGGAGCAGGCTGTGGATATTATGCACTTGAACAGCTCATCAGAGGGAACAGCCAGTGCTAAGACCTCTGAGCTGGAGCATGCACGGAATGGTTAAGGAAGGGAAAGGGAGCCAGCGTAGCCAGGGCGGAATGAATGACAGGACAAGAGGCCCATGACGTTGTAGGTTGGGGCCAGACTGTACTTGTTGGCCACAGTAGAAAGGGATTTCTACCCTGTATGATATTATTTAAAAACTTGGTTTTTGTGCTTTCGATGTACACTTCATGTGTGTGTGTATGTGTGTGTGTGTGTGTGTGTGTGCACATGCGCCTGAGCGTGTGTAAACAATGGAGAAGGATCCCATAGTCAGGCAGCCGGGCCCAAGGGCCAAGAAGTCAGAGGCAACCCCTCAAAGGAGCCAATCTTATTTCATTCAATTTGTTTATTAAGCTATGGGGGAGAGGGGGCTCTGGGAGAAAGCGCATCTGAAACCGATTTAGAGCATGACTGAAAGAATTCTAAGCCGTGGACATCTTCCGACTCATTCAGAAGACCTTTACGGAGAGGCGGCTATGTACCAGGTCCCATGCTGGGCTCTGGGGCGTGAGAGACGAGTGACACATACAGCCAGTCGGCTGGGGAGCAGTGCCCTGAGCAGCTGTCAGTCTGGTGCAGGGTGGGGGGAACCCAGTGGGCAGCCAGACAGTTTAGGTCATTGTAATGCTAGCAAATGTCAGGGGTCCTTAAGGAGCCTGAAAGGGAAAGTCAAGAACCAAGGTCAGGGAAGAAGACGGTCCGGGGTGGGGTGGGGGGAATGACACCGTCCTTGTCATTTTTTTTTTTTTTTAGTGTAATCTCATTATTTCATCACCTGCTCTTCTTCAGCGCAGAGACGCTCCGGCAGGAACTGGAGAGAGAGAAAATGATGAAAAGACTCTTGATGACCGAACTGTGAAATTCTCCGCTTGTTGCCTGGAGGATGGCATGGTGCCTTCTGTCCGTTTTCCTTCTTCGGGCTTTGTGTGCTCACTCCAGCACAACACACGGATGTGTGCTCTGCTCACCCAGGTCTCCGTGGTTGGGTTGAAGCCAATGTCTGGCTTGACTTTCATTGGAGAGGTTATTTTCTGTCTCCTGAGTATTAGAGGTTTTCTGCTACTCAATCTAGCTGGGACGGGATTGGGTAAACCTGGGAGAAGAAAGATGGGGAAATGGGATTCCCTTTTAGTACTGCCTGTGTGTCTATATTCATAACCACAGGGGTTAATATGGAACGGAATCCTTTGTTATCAGTCTCAACCATGATTTTGTATGATTGAAACTTGCACCAAGCTTCGACTGTTTGTTAAAGAGTCATTTTTAATGAGAGAACAATTCTATACTGCTGGTTTTTCATTTACACTGGTAATTATACAGGTCTTATAAAGTCTAACTTAACACTCATTTTTATTCAGACACGAGTCGATGAGCTAAAAAAAAAGAAAAAGAAAAAAAAGAAAAGAAAAAAGAAAAGAAAGTTGTGATCACCAGGACTGAAGAACTTCAGCGAAATCTGAAATACCATTTAAATTGTGGATTTGTCGGATGCAATATTATTTGGCATAAACAGAATTCTTCATTTGGACCCAAAGTAGGGAATCAGTGCTTACAGTTATCTAAAAATTCTTACAGAGATGAGATAATTCAATATCAAGATCCATTTGGGTGTCCCATTAAGGAAAATTCTTTCTAAAGTTGATGAATTCTTGTCCTGTTGATAGAACCTTGACCAGATGACACTTTGTTCTCTTTTTATATAGTTTCAAGAAATGTGTTTTTAAATTTTTATTATGCACTTGAACAACTTTGCAGGAATAAAGGCACCCCCTAACCACAGACTAGCCCCCTAAAGTGTTTCCCACGCTCTCAGTGAATATGCACACTTTTTTTTTTCCACAGCTGTGATGAGTGTGTACATACTCTTTGGTTGTACTTCTCCACCTCACACATATCTTCCCTTTTCAACACAGACCCTGTGCCCTCAGCAACTTCAGTGTCTGTATATCCACATAACATGGTTAACCTCACTTCTCCCTGTTATTAGGTATTTGGGTTGTATCCAACTTTTCACTCTTATAAATAGTGCTGCTATGAATGTCTTTGTAAACAGTGCTCCTTCCTTTGGATTCTTCCCTTGGGAATATCTCCACCGAGGGGTTACAAGGTCAAAGAGCATGGAATATTTTATAGCTCTTGTTTCATATTGCCAGACTGCTTTCTAGAAAGAGCCAATCTCTGGGTTGGAAGGACCTTAAAGGTCGTGAGGTCCACTCCCCCTCTTCCCTCTGAATGCTTGAATCCCTCTACAATTTATGATGCCACCAGCAATGTATAAGCATTTCTACTTACCAACAGTTCTGCCAGTATTGGGTTTTGCCATTTTAATTTATTTTTGCTAGTTTAATAGGTGTGTACAGTTGTTCTTGAAAGGTTGTTTTATTTCAGTAATTGCTAGCAAGGCTGAGCACTTTTCCATGTGATGATTTACTAGCTGTATTTCCTTGTATGTAGACCGTCCATCCACTTCTTATGACCACTTGTTAAGTGGAATCGATCTCGTATATTTGTATCAGAACTGTATTTTTATGTTGTATTGTATAGTTTGCTCTCCTGTCCCGATCCTTAAAACTGAATGGTGCCAATAATTTGATACTAATGATTATAAAAAAAATGTAATGCCTCATTTTCTCGCATTGTTGTAAGATGAGGTATGTAAGCAAATATTCAGATAACAGAGGATTAACCCTTTAAAGTGCTGAATCTTTAAAATTTTAATATTTTTTTGAGGGGAATCTTTCTAAAATGCGTTACGCACTTCCCTGCCTTAGTAAACGGTATACTGGAGAGTATTTAACCTTTTCTTGGTGAGTCACGGTCATCCTTGTACACATCTGCCCCTTTTGTACCTTGGTGTGGTGCCGGTGATGTCCTCGGGAGAAAACATAGGGCTTGGCTTTGCCTTTCACAGACTATTGTGCTGTTCTCACTGATGAATTTTGTTGCTTTCTGCTCTATTGGTGAAGCCATCTGGGGCATTTGTGGTGTTTGGGACTTTTTACTCCCATTCTATAGGACCCCCCCCCCCCGGCTATACTTTCAAAACAGCTTTACCTGTTCTTTATTCTTGTGCACACGATCCAAACTGTGTTCCTGTACAAGACGGGGGAGCTATCTGTGTCTGGGGTTGTAACCTCTTGCCAATCCAGCACCCTCCTCCCAACCTGCTTTCTGAGTCTTCTGCTCTTCACCTCCTGCTCTCTGACGGAAACCTCCTGAGCAGAATGGAAGTTTTCTCAGAGAAGCCAGGGAGCCAAGTATGACATATGTGTCAGGTGTGCTTTGCTTCTGAGGAGGGCTGCATGGGCTTTTGGGACGCTGTTTTCAGGAGGCTGTGAGCCTCCTGCTTTTTTTTCCCCACATCCCCCTGGGTTCCCAGATGTTCAGCAGTTGATGTCACTGGAAGTCTGATCCCAACAAGTTGGCTGTTACTGTATATGAAAACCCAGTACCTTTGGCAGCTCAGCTCTAACCAGTAAAATCAAGAGGATTCCATTGTTTCAGCAGTTGTCCTGGTTATTTGCCTACTTAAATGTATGACGGGGGCTCGGCGTGGTGACCTGAGGAGATGACATCATGTTGGTTGGATTCATAGGGACAAACATAAATTGATATAATTTTATCTTTTTTATATACTTAAAACAACAGCACCATCCAGTCACACAACACATACCTGATGTCTGGGGGCGGGGGTGGGGGGCAAGGGCAGGGGGGCAGCTTATTGACATATTCTTGCCAGAACAACGGCTCCAAACTGGACCACAGACTCCTGGTGGGCGTGGGTGGGGGCACTACAAGGGGCCTGAGAGTCCTGCAACCCACAGAGTTTGTGGACCATAGACCTGCATGGAAGATCCTTATGTCCGAAGAATTTAGAAACTAGGTCCTAAAGCATTCAGAAGATCCCATCTGAATGTACCCCAAATTTTATATTCTCAAAATATCACAGGAATATCCTGAGGTCTTCATCTCTCTCCTTCACCATCTCAGTTTTTTAAAAACTGGAAATCCACCATCTCACCCACTTTAAAGTGTACAGTTTGGTGGGGTTTTTCGTACGTTCCCATTGTTAGGCAAACCTCACCACTCTGTAATTCCAGAATATCTCCATCGTTACAGAAAGAAACTCCCTGTCTACAGTTACCACCAATTCTCCCCTCCCCCTACCTCCTAGCAACCACTAATTTACTTTCTGTCTCTGGATTTGCCTCTTCTGGACATTTCATATAAATGGAATCATACAATATGCCGTCCTTGGTGACTGGCTTCTTCCACTTACCACAGTGTTTTCAAGGCTCATGCATGCAGTAGCAGGTATCAATACTTCATTCCTTAAATGGGTGAATAATACACACCATTGTATGGCGGTACCACATTTTGTTTATTCATCATAAACATTTGGATTGTTTTCACTTTTTGGCCCTTATGAATAATATAAACATTCACATCCAAGTTTCTGTATGAACATATATTTTCAGTTCTCTTGGGTATATAACTAAGATTGGAATATAGCTGGGTCCTATGGCAACCAAAGGGGGATCCCTGGGTGGCGCAGCGGTTTAGCGCCTGCCTTTGGCCCAGGGCGCGATCCTGGAGACCCGGGATCAAGTCCCACGTCAGGCTCCCGGTGCATGGAGCCTGCTTCTCCCTCTGCCTGTGTCTCTGCCTCTCTCTCTCTCTCTCTGTGACTATCATAAATAAATAAAAAAAAATTATTCATATGGCAACCAAAGGTAAAAAAAAAAATCACATATACTAGGCAGTCAGAAGAATGGGTATATCTGTTACTGGTCAGATACTGTAACACAACACTGATTTGGGGGAGTTTTTATAACAGAAAAATTATTTTAGGGAAATGGTTTTGGTGAGAAAGAAAATAAAGTTGCTGTCTGTCTTTTAAACATGAAAATGAAATTCAATTCAGGTGCATCTCTAAGTTCTTATTGGAATAGCCGGCTCTTGTTCAGCCAGCAGACTCTGAATGTTGGGAAAAGTGCTTCCACAGAACATGTGCACTGTTGCGAAAACCACAGTGTTGATTGGCTGCTCGGCGAATTCACATCACTGAGGAACAGAGAGTCTCTGCAAAATCTGGGATGTACTAGAGGGGAGTGTGTGCTGAGAGTGGGAACAAGTCTCCCTTTAGGGCTCAAATCTTATAAGAAAACACAAAGAGGGGCACCCAACTGGCTCAGTTGGTGGAGCATGTGACTCTTGATTTTGGGATTGTGAGTTTGAGCTCCACGTTGGGTGTAGAGATTACTTAAAAAGAAAACACAAAAAGAAAATCCCAAAGGGTAATTTAAGTAAATGGGAGAGAACCTCATGAAAGGAAGAGCCAAGTCTGTAGGGAACTGAGAACCAGAGTGGTTTGCAGGCAGACTGAGTGATGACAGCTATGAAGATTTTCCCTAGGAAAGAATCCGCACATCACATGGTATTCCAGCACCACCCCTGAAGCCCATCTATGGCCCCCACCTTGAACCCATGGGCCCCAGATTCTTGATAGTTGAAACCCACAGATTACCTGCAAGCTTCATTTTAGGCTGTGGTTGCAAACCCACCTCTAACACCACTCCCCAACATCCCCCTACCAAAGAAGGCCCACAAATTCCAGACCAATTCACTGGAAGAATGACCTGGTTTTCATTTGCTTTCTATCCGGCATCATCACTGTTAATTACAGTAATTTAAGTGAAGGGAATAAAAAAGAAAGTGAAAGATAATAGGTTGGATTCTACAACCAGAGACTCAGTACTGAAATCAGAAGTCCAATGCTTCCTTTATTGATTGATTGGTTTTTGCTAAATGTCGGTCCATTGATAACTTACCGTATCTTTCCTGGTGAATAGGAAGAAAAAGAAAAAGGAATTGCAAGTTTTAAGAATGAGTTTTTCTTTTTCTTTTTAAAAGAATTACAGGGGCAGCCGGGGTGGCCCAGTGGTTTAGCGCCACCTCTGGCCCACGGCCGATCCTGGGGCCCTGGGATCGAGTCCCACGTTGGGCTCCCTTATGGAGCCTGCTTCTCTCTCTGTCTCTCTCATGAATAAATAAATAAAATATTTTAAAATAAATAAATAAATAAAAGAATTACATATTAGCAGAGTTTCTATTGGCCTTTTTTATATTTTAAAATGTCACACATTGTAAAGCTATGGGGGGTTTTGTGTGTTTTTTTAAAGATTTTATTTACTCATGAGACACAGAGAGAGAGAGGTAGAGCACAGGCAGAGGGAGAAGCAGGCTCCCTGTGGAAAGCCGGATGCGGGACTCGATCCCAGGACCCAGGAATCACGACCTGAGCCAAAGGCAGACGCTCAACCACTAAGCCACCCAGGTGCCCCACAAAGCTATGTTTTTTGAGGAAGAAGCTTCTTTTTTTGATTTTCTTAAGTAGTTACAGTTCATTTTATCTTTTTTCAAATAATAAATCTATTTCTTATACAACTGGCGTACTGGGCAACCTAGTGAAGCCCAAGCTTTTCATGAATGGCACCTGATTCACCTGTCAGGCTAAACATGTTTAAACTTCAGTGGGACAATTCACCATCGGTATTAGCTGATACACAATAGCAAACACCTGCCTCTGGGTCACGTAGCGCTTTTTCCTATTTCCATCCCATCTCCCATCTCCCCCGGTTCAAAAAAGGTTGAGATCACTAGTTTCTCTTTGAGTCTTTTGTAATCTTAGGCATTTCGCTCCTGCCACCTATGGCATCGAACCCTATCAAGCCTCACCTGTGTCATCTTCCCTCACCTTCCTTGTCTTCACAGAGGCTACTGATGCACCACTCCTAAACTGGCTTCTGGACCTGCATTTGGAACCTCTATGCTTTTCTGCCTCCATAATTATTTTCTTTGTTTATGCAATGAAATATAAAGAAATGGAAAAAAAAAAAAAGCAGGCTGAAATGCTGGCTCTGCACTACCAGCATGAAAGGAATTGGTCCATGTTTTCTAACGGAAAACAGCTTAGCAGTTATCACTTCAAAACCGTCAGAAGGACTCCAGGACCTGGCATCTTTAAGTGGGTGGTGTGGATAAGTCGAGTAAACAAGTGAAAGGGAATTGCAAGCCACAGGAACGGGTTTGAGAGAGTGGAGACTTGGGGGCGGGGGCGGTCATCAGGCATGGTGAGGTCCTGCCAAGGTCTGTGCAGGTCTGCCTGCTGCCGGGGAAACAGGGTAAACCAGTTGCTTAGTTTGGAAGGGGTTAGGTCATTCAAGGGAGCCGGGGGCAGTCTTTGCTGAGTGCACATTTCAAAAGTGGAGAGGAAGCTGTGAATCCAGCCCAAGAGCGGCGTCTCAGTTTACCTACCTAGAGAGTGGGGATCCTGCTCTCTCACCTTGTGTGATGCTCCCAAGAAACAACGGGTGTAGTAAGTGCTTTGTGTACAACAAAAAGTGCTGGAGCAGGATGATGGGGGTGGGGGAGGCAGCAGTTCCGGCAAGGTGTGCCCGAGGTCCACCCTCCAGAACTCGGGTGCGCGTCGAGGCCTCCCGGGGACGTCCTGACTCACGGGTCTGCAGTGAGGCCTGGGATCTCCGGGGCTGCCGGCGGGCTTCCTGGGGATGCCCAGGCCGCGGGGCGCGGACCGCACGGACGCAGGGGCGCAGCAGGGCCGGCGCCGGGGGCGCGGGAGCCGCGGAGGGAGGGAGCCCGAGCGGGAGCAGAGGATGCGCGGAGCGAAGGGAGGCGGCGCGCGGGCTGGAGGCTGCGCAGAGCGGGCGCGGGCGGGGCGGGCGCGGGCGCGGGCGGCGGGGACGCGGGGCGCGGGGGGCGGGCGGGCGCGCGCGGGCGGCGGCGGCGGCGGAGGCGGAGGCGGAGCACAGTGCCCGGCCCGGCCCCGCGGCGCCCCCGCTGCGGCCCGAGCGGCCTGGCTGCGGGCTCGGAGCGCGGGATGGCGCGACCGCCGCGGCGGCGCCCGGGGGCCTGGGGGCCGCTGCTCTGGCTGCTGCTGGCGGGGCCCGGCACCTGCGCCGCCAGCCCCGCGGACGACGGCGCGGGCCCGGGGGGCCGGGGACCCCGGGGCCGCGGGCGGGGGGACTCGGGCGCCGACGAGGCGGCGCCGCGCCACGACTCCTCCTACGGCACCTTCGCGGGGGAGTTCTACGACCTGCGCTACCTGTCGGAGGAGGGTGAGGCCGCGGGGGCAGGGGCGGGGGGAGGGAGGGGAGGGGAGGGGAGGGGAGGGCGCGGGGGCGGGGAGGCGGCCCGGGCCGGGTGCGGAGCGCGCTGCTCGGACCCCGCGGCCTGCCTGGCTGCCGGCGCCTTCCGCCCGCCGCCCGTTTCACAGGCAGGGAGACTGAGGCCGGGACGGGGAGGTGGTCAGCCCAGCCCTGGAGGCTGCGGGCAGGGGGCGCTGAGCCTAGGCTCCCCCGGCCCCCACTCTCCCTGTCGGGGTAACGGGTGGCGGGGGAGGAGGCCGCCCCCTGGCCTGGGGTGTGTGAGAGCAGGGTGCGAAGCAGAAATCACAGTTTTTAAAAAAGTAATTAATTAATCTATTTATTTTTTTAAAGATTTTATTTATTTATTAGAGACAGAGACAGAGAGGCAGAGACACAGGCAGAGGGAGAAGCAGGCTCCATGCAGGGAGCCGGACGCGGGACTCGATCCCAGAGCCTCCAGGATCACGCCCTGGGCCGAAGGCGGTGCTAAACCACAGGGGCTGCCCTATTTATTTATTTATTTATTTATTTATTTATTTATTTATTTATTTATTTAGAGAGACACACAGAGGCAGAGACACAGGCAGAGGGGGAAGTAGGCTCCCTGTGGGGAGCCCCATGCGGGACTCGATCCCAGGACCCCGGGATCACGCCCTGAGCCAAAGGCAGCCGCTCAACCGCTGAGCCACCCAGGCGTCCCCAGAAATCACAATTTAAACTGATTTTTTTTCTCTCCTCCTTGTCTGTATTGACCTACATTTGCAGGGACGAGTGCCCCAACCTTTCAGCGTTCTGTTGCTGCTGGCTGCCCTGCCAGCAGAGCTGGGGCAGAGCTGGGGCGTATTTCTGTCCCCACTCTCATCCCAGTTCTTTTGTGTGACCACACACGTTAGGGTTCCCGACTGTGAGCCACCATTGTTGGGTGCTGCTGGGCCCAGAGAGGAGGGGTTTATCAGCCACAGACCTCCCTGTGGAGTTGCTTTAGTGAGCACAAAAGCCAGCTGATTCTGTGTAGAAGGAATAGAAACTGGCCTCTTCTGCAATTTGGAAGGTAGCAGTTTTCCTATTCTTCTGCTGAAAGGACTGGGCAAGAATAAAATTGGGTTTGAAATGTACCCGCAACTGATATGATGCTGGGTATATCTGTTATGAAGGATTTGGGTTAGCTGTATACAACAGGCACACATTAATAGCTTAATTAAGATAGAAGTTTCTTTGTCATTTAAAGAAATCTAGGAGGAGGCAGTCTGGGCTGGTATTAGAGGCTCTATGCTCATTGGACACCCTGGATCCTGATCTTCTGCTTCTTTATAATTCCTAGCGTGTAACTTCATGGCCCAGAACGGCTGCTTGATCTCCGGCCACCTCATTCACTGTCCAGCCAGCGGGAAAGAGAAAGTGGAAAGGTCACTAACCTCCTTTATAAGGGGATTACTCAGAAGTCCCATATAGCAATTACGCTTCATTTGCCACAACTTACGTGGTCACATGTAAGTGTAAAGGAGGCTGGGAAACAGAGCCTTTTAGCTGAGAGGTAGTATGCCCAAGTAAAAAATTGAAATCATTGTATTGAAGTGGAAAGGATGGATTTGAGGAATACAGTAGTTGAGTGGAGGTTCAAGCGCTGAAACAGAGACCCCATATTTAGTGGCTTAAATAAGATAGTTTTTTTGTTTTTTTGTTTTTTTTTTTTTCCTCCCATGAGTCTGACTGGTCTGGGCAGTTGGGACAGCCCTGTTCTACAAGGTCATCAGGCAACCCAGGTGCCTTCCATCTTGTTCCACCATCCAGTAAAGCTTTGTCCTTGTCTGTGTGGTAGAAGATGGGTTGCCTATGTGGCCTTGTTCAAACTTGAGGAAATGTGGGATATCTGGGTGGCTCAGCGGTTGGGCATCTGCCTTTGGCTCAGGGTGTGGTCCTGGAGACCGGGGATCGAGTCCCGCATCCGGCTCCCTGTAGGGAGCCTGCTTCTCCCTCTGCCCCTCTCTCTCTCTCTCTCTCTCTCTCTCTCTCTCTCTCTCTCTCTCTCTCTCCCTGTGTGTGTGTGTGTCTCATGAATAAATAAATAAAATCTTTTTAAAAAATATTGAGGAAAGGAGAAAGAGGAAACTCAGAACAAGCAATTACCTTTGAGGCTTGTTGCACAGATCACTGCTGTTCACATTCCTTTGGCAAGGATATAATTCCATGACCTAGCTGCAAGAGAGGCTGAGAAATGTAGGCTTCCAGCTGGGGGGCCATGTGGCCAGGGAGGTGGAGAGACAGGGGAGGGGTGAGGGGGTGAGGATGGCAAGCAGAAGCAGCATCCATCACTCTGGAAAAGAATAAACGTTTCAAAGCCCATCTGGTTCCCAAAGGATCGAATACCTGTTTATTCTGTTCGTGCTCAGCCCAGCACACTGCCAGGTGACTCACACGTGGTGCCTGAGAGCTCATGTCCTCATCGGGCGGACGGACCTAACAAAGGGAGGAAAGAAGGTCAGATGCTCTGTGTCCAGTTGTACGTACGGAGAGAATGAAGTTAGTTGTAGAGTCCAGACGGTTTTATGAACACAGACCCCAGGTGGCTGCAGACGTAAGGAAGGCTTTATAGAGTTGAGCTAGGAAGTATGAAAGACTTTGATGAGCTAGAAGACAGGACATTTAAGTGAGATGCTCCCCCCCTCCTCCCAGGCAGCAGGGCATGCAGGGTGTGTACAAATCCCTGGTTTGCCTGCTTGCCCTTCTCACCCATTCTGCACATTCAGCCTGAAGCTCAGTTCTAACCCCCAGAAATCCACAATGGTTCCAACCTGCACACTGGATGAAGCTTCAACTCCTTTATCTGGAACTTTCTCTTTGGCTCAACTTCCTTTTATAGCCCTCTCTTACTCCTCCCCTTCGCTCCCCCTGGGGTTTCACTGTCCTTTCGCCTCTCTAGCACTTTCACCTATCTTCAAATGCAGATCCTACAGCCAGCTGGTGGGTGCTAGTTGGGGATGTTTGTGGGCTGAGCCTCTCAGGGGCAGCCCCTCCGCTAGATTCCTTTGAGCCTGGGTTGTAGCGCTGTGGATCCTGAAAAGAGACTTTCTCAAGATCCTTAGAAATAATCAGTGCCTTAATAATAATAATGCCTTAAAAGGGTTACAGCCAGAGAGGGAGAAGCAGAACCGGGAAATGTCCCAGGTGGATGTTGTAACCCAGAAAGCTATGGGAACACTAGCAGTGTCCCTAGCCACGGTGAGGCCCAATAGTGTGAGGCTGCAAAATAATTGATGGATTCAGGAGATGAGAGGTGAATTTTCCTGGGATAAATTCAGTGGAGAAAGGAAGGACCCTGATTGATTTTGAAGGAAGTGGCAAGTAAAGAGGTAGAAATAGTGCATTTAAAATACTCTATTGGTACAAATGAGACTGTCTTTTTCTAGTGATTGGGCTACTTGTTTCCTCTATGCAGGGTACCCTCTTCTCAGGTTCAAAGTAGACAACTAACTGAGTTTTCAATGAAAAGATGGCCTGGTACTATGTAAATTTATTTATTCATTTATTTATTTTTTTAATATTTTATTTGTTCATGAGAGACACAGAAAGAGGCAGAGATGCAGGCAGAAGGAGAAGCAGGCTCCATGCAGGGAGCCTGATGTGGGGCTAGATCCCTGGACTCCAGGATCAGGCCCTGAGCCAAAGGCAGATGCTCAACTGCTGGGCCACCCAGGCATCCTGTAGAATGTAAATTTAAAAAGGGGGGGGGGCAAAATTAGAATAATGGGGATGGAGAATTCACTGAAACTTTAGGAGAGCCCACTGACCACTCCTCACCCTGTCTAGAAACCATTTCCCCAGTGTCCTGACCACCCAAGACTACCCAAAGCCAGAGGCTGAAAACTGGTTAATTTGGTATATTTAATTGCCCCCTAAATATGTTCATTTTTAAAAACTTATTTTATATTTTGGTTTAACGATGCTAAGTGGGGTTTTTTGGTAAGTTGTTATTTGGAGACAGTGTGAAGAGGTGGGGGTGGGGTGGGCAGAGGGAGAGAGAGAGAATCTTAAGCAGGTTCCACCTGCAGTAAGGAGCCCGTCACAGGGGCTCCATCTCATGACCCTGAGATAATGACTTGAGCCAAAATCAGGAGTCAGACACTTAACTGACTGACCCACCCAGGCCCCCATTAACTATGCTATATTTCAGAATTCTTAGCGGTTCCCACTGTCTTAACCTATACCTCTCATCCTTATATTCCTAACTCCACTGCCACCTCTTTCAGGGAGCCTTCCTGGATTTCCTCCTTTTCCCATCCCCTGCCACTAAGCAAGGATGTTCTCTCACACTGTATAATCTAGCCCCGCTCTTGACCCTGTTGGCTCTCTATGATCAAGAGTTTGGATAGGGTGCTAGTGCTTGAATCCTACCATTCATACCTCTTCCTCTTGAGGCTCTTAACACGGAATCTATATATCCAGAACAACAGAATGTAAAACAGACTACTTTGTGATTATGGGCAAATATTCTATTCTGAAGGTTCTTTGAAAAAACTGAATTAGGTGTTTTTGGCTTAGTGTTACATCCCAGGTAAAGCCTCCTGCTCTCTTTTCCCTGCCGTGAAGATCCCTGCAAACCCTGAAGCCTTACCAGCCTGCCGTATGGAGGGTGGTAACTGACTCGCCATACCCTGCCTTGGCAGGAAAAGAGGAAACATATTCATGATTGCTTATCTCTAAGGCACAGTGATCTGGCCACTTATGAAATGTGGCCCACTTCTGAGCATCAGGTTTTGACCACAATTTTTCCTACTTGGGAAAGAGCTAGTAAGACAGTAGAGAGAAGAACAGAGCTTGGGGAAAGGGCGCGGACTCCTTCATCTACCTGTGTTCTTCCTACACGTACCATGTAATGTATAGGGATACCTAACTCGTCACCCTGCCAACCTGGAGGTTCTTTAAAGGTTAATAACCTCTATCTGAATGATCTATATATTCTCCAGGATTGT